TCAACACCCAAAGAACAAATAATCCAATCAAGAAATGGGCAGAAGACATGAACAGACATTTTTCCAAAGAAGACATCCAAATGGCCAACAGACATTCATGGCCAACATGAAAAAGTGCTCAAACTGCCACACCTTTGAACTGTGTTTGTGAGCATCCGTACTTCATCTTGATATATTTTGTGTATCCATTAGCAAGTTGTTTCCTAAGGTATCAGAAAAGCCTAAGAGGTTTTTGGGGTTTAGGAATGATGAAATTTTTTTCATATAAATTAGTAGTAATTACTTCTTCACTTTACGTCATTTCAGCTTATAAAAGGTTTTATAGGAACAGTCTACTATTGCATAGTGGGGGAAACCTGTGTGTTCTATTAGTTTTGTTTCTCTGGAAAACCCTGACTACTACCTTTTTAAGGGTAAAGACAACCTTAGTTATCTCTAAATTGTTGTGTCTAATAGCTAGGAGGTGTTGAACAGAATCTTATGAAAACAAAAATGGGAGAGAGAAAGGGAAGATTAATGATGAGATTTTATATGATTGGGAATTCTGAACTTATGGATCATTTCAAGAAGTTACTCTTATGTGATGTAGACTTAGAATCCAGGACTAGGGGTGTTGTGCCTCCTGGATGGTTCATAAACTAACTAGCTGGAATTGAGAGAAAAATCCTTTGAGCTCACATGTGTTTTTGAAGTCAATGAAGGTAAGAGGTTCACTTACAGACGAGGAGATGAGTAAGTGTCTGACCCTGACAGTGTTAGGTTCTCTAACATAAAAGATGAAAGTCCCCACCTGGAGAGTGAAGACTCAGTCACTCACTGGAGTTCTGTATTGACTGTTAGAATTGAGAATGTAGACCTGGAATCTCTGGAAAGAACAGTTAAAGAAGGAGAGGGTTCAAGAACAAAAGGACAAAATAAAGCACGTCTGGGAAGGGATCAGGGTGCTCAGAGTAATTCTGCTCTAATTTTCCATCCAATCTCTGGAGTTCATGTTTTTATCTCATCTTTAATTCCCTTTTCTCTTTATAGTCTAGCCGGAAGAACCAAAAGCTCAGAACCTTAAGTATCATCTCTGTATGGACTCCTTTTCTTAAAAATGTCTCTGTGTTGATTACAGTTACCTTCTCTAATTGATAAAATCTTTCTTTTTCTTCCAGGGTCCACTTTACTAACTTCACCTATAATTTTCAATGCAGAACCCATCATTCTTTCCTGAATACATATTGGGATTTACACCAATAGTATAAAAATTACCATATATTATAATTAGCTGTTTTCCCTCAGTAGTCAGCAAGTTCTCCAGTCTCAGATTTATCTTTGTATTTATGTATTATGTATGAATAGCTATACAGGCTCTGGGTTTATATCTAGTATCTAGCATACAATAAATATTGAATGAAAAAACTTCTACAGTTTTATTCCTTGTGTCTTTCCTTTTTCCAGGGGTTGTCTTACTTTTAAAATTCCCTCCACCGAAGGAGAGATTGAGAAAGAGAGAGGGGGAGGAAGAGAGAGAGAGAGAGAAAGAGAGGGAACTTACCTCTCTTCAACAACTTAACTCCTCTTAAACTTCTTCTGCCTCTAGCTAGGTCATTTATTACTAGACAGTTATACATAGGGGTTAAATATTAAGGCTCTAAAACTAGACCTGGTTTGAGGTTCTGGCCTCGTTGCTTACAAGTTCTGTGCCATATAGAAGCTCTTATAACCCTTCTAAGTTTATTTTGTTCATCTATAAAATGAAAATTATCATTGCTTCATGAGTTGTTGTGAATGCTTCGTCCATGCATGACAAATACTTAGAACAAGGCTGGGCATAATAGTCTGTTCAATAAATGGTAGTTATTTCCAGTATCTTTAAAACCATTTTAAAGTATATTCATTATATTTATTAAAGGAGCAGAAAGAAAATTTTTAAAGAAGCAGACTGACAAATCATAGCACACCAATCAATTTAATTTCAGCATTATCCTCCATAAAGCAAATTCTAATTAATACTGAGATATACCTAATAAACTTATGACTTTGATAGGAGGAGTACTTTGTAAATTTTGTCAATGTGTAAGGGTCTCTGTTAAGCTTACTAAAATTTGTTTTACAATTTTTTAACCCAAAGGAAGCACAGTTTTGCCAGTTTTGAATTTTGAGCCTGAATGAATAAGCTTTAATGTAATTAGGCTCATTTGAAAAAGTTTTTATCATACAAAGTAGGCGACCTGGCTTATCAAAGAAAAAAACCCAAAGCTTACTGTGGTTAACAGGTTGTATTTATTATTTTCTATAGTTTCTAAAAAGTGGAATATATTGTAAGACTTTGTTAAAAATAATTCTTTACACAGTTTTTGGAAGGTTAGTGGCAAATATGGTTTACAAGTAAAAGATAAAATTTTCAAACTAAAATCAATTAATGGTCTTGAATTTACAGAAGCAAGTTAAGGTTAAGTTTAAATATCTGAAGCTGTTTCTACATTAAAACATGTCTAAGAAATAGAAAACTAAGAAATTTAGATAAAGCACCAGCTGTCACCATGTTACCAAGTTAACACTAGTTCCTCACTGGTCCCCATCACATGATGACGAATGGGAGGAGAAAGGGAAGGAACACTTATAGAAAGAAACAGAACCCTGAAATTACATTTACTTAAGGGTTTCCCCCAAAGGCATCTTGGTCAAGTTAATACATTTCTGAGGAGCAGAAATAGGTTATAATAGTTAAGGCTCAAGATCATGCATTCATAATAAAATACAGTTACTGACATTTAAGTGATATTGAATGTCATACAACATATTTAAAGTTTGCCATTTAAGTCAACAGTATACATATTTTCTTTCTGAATCCTTTAGGATTTTGCAGGCACATTGAAATCAATCTTCGTACAAAGGGAACAAATATCAGAATCTTGTATTACATGGATGAAAGTGGCTGCATTTTTATGATCATGTCAAAAAACAACTAGTTGTACCTATCTTTTAAAGATAATTTTAATAGTGAAAATTAATATTTAGGATTTTCAAGTTTTTCAAATACAAAACATTTTACAGAGTGTGTGTGATTAGAATAAAAACAGCAAAAAAAAAACACTTAGAAAGATAAATGAGTAAGTGAAAACTAATTTGTATACACTAATATTACATAACATTACCAACAACAAACTTACATTTTGATCTCCTACTCGGTGTCCTCACAGTTTCAGTGGTTATTTTCTTTCTCTAAGTTACAGAGAACCATTAAGAATAGTGAAAAGTATTTCAAAGTGGACACAGTTTCCCAAGTAAGGATCAAGACTCTGAAAATCCCTAGACATAACGGCAACCCTTGACTCTTCTAATTCATATTATGACTTCTATTTGCCAGACCTCAAATGTTCCATTATGGATAAATGGTAAAATATATATCAGTCTTATGATAAGATAATACATGAGTCTACTAACAGTTTCTATATCATTTTAGTAAATGTATTCTTTAAAAAAGTATAAATGAGGAAAATAGAGGCCATAATTCTAGTTCTCTTTGTGCTTCTTATTCTCTGAATCCATTCTGTTGAAGAGCTAGAGCTTAGGTAGAACTAGCCAAAGAGATGAAAAACCAGGAATCCAAAACCAACCAAATTATATTAATTCTCAGTAAAAAAATAAAAGAAAACAAAAACCAAAACCAAGGCTCCAGTCAACCAAACATGGTTTGGATCAGCCCAAGAGGATCTGTGGTTGATCTCAAAGGAACTTTCTAAGAACTGCCCTTTTCTCTTTTCCCAGTTGGCATCTGTCTAGGCAAGTTAATGATTTAATGGCCTGTAGCACTGTATTTTTTAACACTATCCCACCTTAAGAAAGTACTTATTGTACTCGCTTATTTGTAACTAAGTCCTATTAATGGTGACTTGAATCCCATAAAGTAGACATAAAATATACGAGGAAGCCCCTTTTGCTACTAATCTCTACTATCACCTCCCCGATCCTCTAGAAGAAACACACCCCATAAGAGCCAGATAGAGAAAACAAGCCATTTGGATTATCAAATGGCAATTTTAGGCCATTTTAACTCACAAAAGTGATTTTAAGGGTTGTCTTGGTTAGACTGAATATACAATGGTAAAAAGCAAACTTGACATGGAGTCTTGTGAACACAAGCTTAACTTCCATGGATTGTAGACAACTGGTAAGTAAAATCTTTACTTCTTTGATCTTTGTTTTTGTTTCTGATTCAAACTTCTAACATTTTTAGAAGGTGAAAAGGTGGTAAGTGGGATTAGATTTGGCCTTGAATAGTTGACTTTTCCTCAGCTTTGTCAAAATAGGCATTTCCTGCAGTAGCTTGAACTTCCTTGTCATCATCTATCATACGAATATCTGATGCATTTTTGTCATTTTGCCTCAAGCGGTAACTTTTATAAGCACGTTGAATTATGGTTGCTGAAACTGCCTCTTGTTTTCGTTTCAGGGTAGTTGTAATTGGCTCATATGTGATCCTAAAAGGGTTGGCTGATACAAACCCTGATTCCATCTCTGAAATCATTTTCTCCATCCTCAAATCTTTACCCATAACTCGCTTTGTTAAAGCAAGTAAGATGTCAAGGCAATGAATTCTGTCCCCAGCAGCCATGGGAAGATCCATGGCAACGAGCTGGCCCTTGTTCGGTTTTGCCATAAAAAGAGGAGGGTCAAGAGCAGCTGCAAAATCTGAAAGCTTGCTAGAGTCTATATACTGCGTCCTATCAGGATCAAACCGCTTCCATACCTGAAAAAATTTCCTAAAATCATCTTCACTTAATGTCTTGGCATTTTTTTTAGAAGCAATATTTAAAAATTCCATGACAACAACAATGTACATGTTTACTATGATCAGCCATGATATGAGTATGTAACTGACAAAATAAATAATTCCAACAAAGGGGTTACCACAGTCTCCTCTAACCTGAGTCCCAGGGTTAATTTTATCAGGATCACAGTCAGACCATTTACTGTTGAAAATGGCATTGAGCATCCCATCCCAGCCAGCAAATATTGTAACTTGGAAAAGACAGAGCATACTGCTGCCAAAGGTTTCAAAGTTGGACACATCATTAATTCCAGCTTCCTTTTTAACATAGGCAAAATTGTACATTCCAAAGATGGCATAGACGAACATGACCAGGAAGATGAGAAGACTGATGTTCAATAACGCTGGGAGAGACAACATCAAAGGGAGCAGTAGATCACGGAATACCTTTGGTCCTTTCCCAGGACGCAGGATGTGGATAATCCGTGAGAGTCGTATCAGTTCCATAATGGAAGGAGGCACAAGGTAGTATCCTACCATCATAGGTAGAAATAGTTCTTGGTGTGGGAGAAGATAAAACAGGCAATAAAATCATTTAAATATGATTGTATTTAGAGGAATATAAATTATTTTAGTTCATTTATTATTTCAACTACTTATTTATTTCAACTATTTATTTATTGTTTCAAGTATTATTATATCATTTTTTCTATATGTTAAGATCATTTTATTAACCCTTCCCATACAACAGAACATATTGAAAGTGGGGATTAGCCAAATATTAATTGTGGCAATTTTCAGGGTCTCTAGCAAAATTTGGAAGAGAATTACAGGTATCATCATCTTAAGAGTACTATTGGTCAAGTACTTCTGGAATCACAGATGGTATAGTTGTATAAAGAAATTTAGTTCAATCCAGCCTTTATTGGATATCTAATAAAGGTGTCATGCAAATATGCAAAGGTGAATGACCTGACTTTTGTCCCCAAAGACCTTATAATCTAGAGAGTAAAGGTAGATATTTAAAGTAATTATAATGCAAGGTAGGAAGACGTAGTTGATACATATAATTACAAAAATGTCTGACATTCAGTGATTCACAGATTATAATTTAATTTATTTATTTCATAAACAGTATTTGGGCCCTTAGCAGCTTTAAATCTAATTAAGTAAATGAGCCTTGGCCTAGAACTTTTTTTTGTAGCAATTGTGGGTAGATGAGGGGACTATGAGAGTGAGAGATATAACTATAAAACAAGGTAAAATTACAGTTACCCTAAAAGTATAGGGGATGTCCTCTGGAAATACTGGAGAGAGTGAGGTACATTTTGAGTTGAGAAGGTGGGGAGGAAAGAATCCCATGAAGCTTCTAAATGAGATGGTATGTTTGTTGAATCTGGAAGGATCATGTGTCCTATTTCCATTCACTTTGATCCTTGTCGATGATGACATTCTCTCTGACATTCTATCTTACATATATCTTCATCGCCACACTGTTTTAGTGAATCTTCTGCTCTGACTCAAATTTTCATTTGTCCTCACAATCTTCCAAATTCCTCCATTATGCCAGAGGTATCCCTATTTAATTGTAGACAATTTTTTCTACAACCTCATCACTACATTTTCTTCACCTCCTTTCTTATCTAAAATCTGACTTTATCTTGAGGACACTATTTCCCTTGGAACATTGTCAAACACAGACAGCTCTTTCTTCCTGCTCTGTATTTCTTGGGGTAGAAAAATGGGATGACCAAGCATCTTTCATTCTTTACAATGTGATTTCCAGACACTTTAAGTCAATTTTATAAAGAAAAAAAAGAATTTTCTGTCCTGACACATTGTGGATCATGCCATTGAACTATACTATTTCCTACCATTTCTTGGCTCTATGATCTATTTATTCCTCCTCATTTACACTCATTGGAGACTTAGTACCTGACTCACTGTGGCTCTTTCCACCCCAGTACCTACCATCAACAGCTCATTGAAAGGCCAGTCTTTATTTCTTTGACTTTCTTAACTGTAATAATCTCCATCATTTGACTTTAGTCATATGCAGCTATGGCCACATTCTGGACCCGGGATTCTTCACCTTCTGATATTTCAAATTCAAACAGCTTTCTGTCTGACCGTGATTTGCTCTCCTTCGAGATCTCTGATTCAGTAACTCTCACTTTCATACCAAAGGGCTATTCCTCTATTTTCTTCCTATCAGCCCCTTCCTGCCTTTATGTACTTTTCTTTCAAGCTTCTTGTGCTTGTCTATCAATAGTTGGACTGCTTCTACTACCAAATGAATAGGCTGAATTTTCTGGAAGCACAAGTGGGCAGATAGTTTGCCCACATTTTCACTACTGACTATATAGAATAGTGTCTGGCACAATAAACATTTAAATATTGTCTCTCATGGAGCTTACATTCTAGTATGTGTCTTATGCGGAGGCAGGCAATAAACACACTTTTCCCTGCCTAAAACATTTTTATCCTAGATTCTTTACTTGGCTACCCCCTTATCCAATATGTCTCTATTTAGATTTTCTTCATCCATGCAGTTTCCTCTGACCTCTACTTACTGTTATGTTCCCCTCACTCTTTTGTGCCACTGTAATACCCTGTGCTTCTTCCCTTATCACAATGTTAATAGCACAACATTAAATATGTACTATTTAATCATCTGTATCCCTTACTAGATTGTAAACTATGTGCATACAGGGATTATGCCTACCTTGTTTATTATTGGATTCTTTGCATATAGCATAATGTCTATTCACAAAGGGGATAATCAAATATATTTGTTAAATAAAAGACAGAGATCCCCGGGTAAGAGAAAACTGGTGATAAATTTATTAAAGCCTAACACTCTAGTGTTGTGAAAGTTGTAAACAGTTTTAGAGATTAGAGAAAAAAGAATAGGGACCGTGAAAGGTTATATCATGCTAAGACATAAAAAGCTCCTTCTAGAGCCATCCTAGAAAATACTGTATGTGCTACACTGAAGGGGTGACCTCTGAAGTAAAGTGTATGTATTAATTCAACAAGTATTTTTGAGTACCTTATAGCTGTCAGGTAAGTGTACATGTATGAATGCAAAAATATAAGCCATTCCAATTGGAATAAGAAGGATCCCTTCTCTGTTTTGCCTATTAAGAGACTATATCTCAGGACACTTTTAGTATAAGAACTTGCCTCAATTAGTATTACTATAAAAGAAAATCTGCTAAAAATCTTACCTGTAACAGAGAAAATGACCACCATAAAATCAAAAATGTTCCATCCGATGGTGAAATAGTTACAATGGAAAGCAATGAGCTTCAGTACACATTCTCCAGTGTATAGTATAATAAGAATTAGGTTAATCCAGCAGAGAGCAATGTCCATATTTTGACTCTGTTCATCACTTTGTATCATAATGGTTATTGCTTGAAAACAGATAAGAGCTATAATGATGGCATTAAAAACTTCATTTGTTACCAAGTCAAAGATGAATCCTTGGAATTTATTCTGTGGATGAAAAAAAGAAAGGTATAATAGCCTTATTAATAGGTTATATACACACACATATTGTCTGTATATTTATAATTTCCCTCCTAGCATAAACAGGAAAATATATGAGGGCCTAAGTTTTTACCAAACTATAATTATATTGTATATAGTCAAAACAAACAAAAGACCATGCAAACTTTGTTAAGGAACATATTTTTAAATTTTGTCAAAAGCATTTGTGAAGAATTTCAAAAACACATTTTATTTATTTATTTGACAGAGACACATCAAGAGAGGGAATATAAGCAGGGGAGTGGGGGAGGGAGAAGCAGGCTTCCTGCAGAGCAGGGAGCCAGATGTGGGGCTCGATCCCAGGACCCTGAGATCATGACCAGAGCCGAAGGCAGTCGCTTAACGACTGAGCCACTCAGGCGTCCCAACACATTTTCATTTTTAAAAGAGAATATACAAAAGAATTTTTTCTTCTGAAGCTTAAAAAACAAATCTAGATGTTTTCTTACTCCTGGGCGACGGATTGTTTTTTGATAGTCCTCACACAACAGCCTCCTCAGTGCACAGGATTGTTTCTTCTGTTTGACTGTTATAAAGATATTTGAGCCTCCTTGGTAAAGAAATGAAAGAAAAAGATTTCAAATCACATTGAATCTAAATTTTACCTTACCATTAATAGACATTTTGGAAAGCTTGGTAATTACTGATTTGATCTTTTACGAAGGGCATAAAGGCAATGATCTAAATCACATTTAACCACGTCTGACTTTCTGCACACAAATCCACACTAAACACATGTAGAATATATAGTAATGACTGATAATCAATTATCTTTTGGTGCACTTCCTTGTGGGCAGTCGACTCTTTTTTTAACTTTTCAGGCTCTTGAGGCCTACCTCATGTTAAACAGAGATAAAGGAGAAACAGTGGGGGATAAATGGAAAGGTTTACTAAGAAAGTTGAATTCAAAAGCCAAAGGTAAAATTGGTTTGTACCTTCTAATAAGCAAGAAAAAATAGAATTGGTCATTTATGTGTTTTTATAAGTTCACATATTACTTAATTTTCCAAATAATACCAGAAGATATTTTTATACTATTATGCCAACAGCACCTTGTGCTTACATCTTCATAGCACCTTCTAGAGCTTATTTATCTTTGTATTCCTAGTGCTAATTTCAATATCTTATACAAAATATATAAAGTGAATAGAGGTAAACAGTTAATGTTTTGTTAATCTAGAAATTAGGAATTATTACTGCCCCAAGTCAGGACTTAGTCACTTAAATTTGACAAGTCACCAATTTGAAGTCCAGAAGCAGATCTTAGGATGTTATCCCATTGGGTTGAAGTCCCAAGAAGCTGAAGCATCCAATCAAATGCATATTTGAACACTGTTCTCCTAATCCCATTTGATTAGCAGAGACTGAGAGTGGTTTGTTTACCAGATTCTGTACATGGCTGAACTTTGATGACATGGCTGAAGATAGAATTTCAAAACAGACTATTTTTTTCTTTGATTTTTTAGAAGGCTTTCCTACACCTCTAGAAAATAGGTCTCTGTGGTTAAAATAAGCAGGCTTAAAGGACTTTTGAGGCCTTTGCATTTGTAGAAGCCCTGAAGGAAATCTTTGGGTGGATATGGCGCCAAATGTTTGGTTCTGTCTCTGAATTGTCTCCTACTTGTTTCAAGCACTCCTATTTAGGCCATATATTTAGGATTTAGGGTTCTCTCTACTTCTAGCTGGAAAAGCTACTGTGCTGACAAAGATGTCTATGTTGGTTATGACTCTGAAGCTTTGAACATATCAGAGAGGAAAATGTGAAGCTTATTTTTCTTGAACTTCTTCACATATTTGTGCAGATGTACCACAATATTATTTGTTTGTCAGCATGTCATTTTTTACAAACATATATATAGAAACACTTGTGACTTTTAACCTTTAAACTTGCCCATTTACATTTGAATATAGAAAACAATGTAAAGATGAACATTTTATCAATATTTCTCAATATGCAGGAATATCAACCTGTTTTTTTTAGCTAAGTACTAAAAAAAATGACATCAAGCTGAATCCCAAACCAATTATTTGAAGCAGGACATTTTTATAAATGTGCTTGATTTTCTCAGGCATTAGTGAACAAAGAATATTTGTACTTATCTTTATTTTATGCTTGTTGAAATTAGCAATAATAACCCCAATCAGCATACTCAAAGGAAGAAATAATCCGATAATAATAAAGTTGATAAAGTAACAATACATGTAGATGTTGTCTTCGAAATTAGGTTGCCTATTTACCTAAAAGTTAAATTAAAAAATAAGCAAAATAAGATAGGGCATAGCAGATTTTCAGGGCAGATTTCAGGGCAACTATATTGTAATGATAGTTATATGTCATTACACATTTGTCCAACCCATACAATGTACAATACCAAGTGAACCCTAAGGTAAACTATGGACTTTGGGTGATTATGATGTGTCAATGTAGGTTCATCCTTGGTAAAAGTGTGCCCCATTCTAGTGAGTGGTGTTGATAATAGGCCATGCATGTGTGGGAACAGTAGGTATATGGGAAATCTCTATACCTTCCTCCCACTTTTGTTGTAAACCTAAAACTGCTCTAAAAAGCAAAATCTTTAAAAATAAAAATCAATTAAAAAGTGAAAAAATAAGCAAAATACCGATACACCAACTTTTTAAAACATAAGATTCATAAAACAATTTACAACAGGAAAAACTAACAGTTCTACATGAGGTAATGTTTCCTCTTTGTTTTTGGTGAAGTGATATCATTGCTTTGTTTATGTGGATTTTAAAGTTTACTGCATTGGTTTAAACACTGTTATGAAGTCTGATAATCCTTCAAATGGGCCTACTGGGCTTCAACCACTGTACATAATCCTGGAAGGATTTCATTTTCATTTCATTTGTGAAATATGCAATCTGAAATGTATTTAATTTCTGTCTAGTGTAAACATTTACTTTTATCATGTTATTTATCCTGTTATTGTTGGTACCCTGTTCTTGAATTGCGAAAATAACTTTGCTTGAACCTTAACAATGGCTCTAAGATGATATTGTACTTACACCAATAGAATCAACTGCTGAATTCATAATAGTGATCCATCCATTAAATGTTGCCTGTAAAAATGGCATGTATTTAATTCTTATGGAAATCTTAAGCTTCGTGGCAAATAAAATGTAAAACTCAATTTGTGACTAATATAGTAAAACATGATTAGTAAAGCTGACCACATTTCAATATGCCATGTAATTGAGACCTTTATCATTTTCATTACTGCATTTACATTGTCTATTAACAAGTATTTAAAACCACTTAGCTTCATTGTAGTAGCTTAATTGTAGTTGATAACAAAATATTGTAAGATAGTATAAATAGAGAGAGAGAGGTAGATAGATAAATGGTAAACAAATACATGCTGCCCAAGTGTCATTGTTACTTTTAACTGCTATATTTGTGCTTTTCTATGGGGGAGGTAAGACAAGAATGAATGATTTATCTCCTCATTTCTGTCAGATGTTGGGTGACTGAGGAGCCAAAGCACTAAGTAGAAACAAAACAGTAGTACCCTGAGCTGGACCAAAAATTGTGACCCTATTATCTCATCAATGATGGTTGAAATAGGTTTCCAGTACCTGCCATCTCCCCTGTCAATCCTACCTTCATCTGTACTTAGAACCTTCTCCCAGCAGAGCAGGGTCTGTGTTTCACTTTTGTCTTTCCAAATAAGCCTAGTGTAGCATGTCCCACAACATGTATCTACTAATAATTGCTAAAATATGTTATAACCAACTCTAGTAATCATCCACATTTTGTCCTTTATGTCCACCTATAATATGAATGAACATATAAAAACATTGATTAAAAAATCAGAAGTGAACTTACCACTTGAAGCAATGAAAGGAACCCATTTCCAACATTATCAAAGTTTAGTTTTGCATTCTCCCATGGCATGGATTCATTAAACATAAGGCTTTCACACTGACTCTTATTCATGACTTCAGATATAGGAAACCTTTCTCCACTTGTTGGGTCAATGCATTCATAGAACTTGCCAGCAAATAAGTGTACTCCCATGATGCTAAAAGCCAGCCAGATCATAAAGCAGACCAGAAACACATTCAAAGCAGGTAAAGTTGTTTTTATCAAAGCTCTCACAACCACCTGGCATTTAAAAAACACACATGTAAACTTTAGGTAAGAAATGTGAATTCACTTTACTTGGAAATACTAAATGTAATGTCATATAGAAATAACGAAAAAAAGGCCGTCACTAAAGATTTAATAGTTCACATGCCAGTATTTGAATAACCTAAATAATAAATCTCAATGAAAAAATATACATTAAAAATCCAGATATTCTCAAATTTTTGTACTAAAATAATCACTAAGAGGCAACAGAGTTGATTAGCAAAATAATTATTTCACTGATTTAACATGTGTATCAAACTTCCTGTATTGTGCCAGAAACGGGGAAGACATCTGAACATGTATGAATATACATGTACGTATTATCTGGAAAGTATATAAAATGAAAAAGAAATAGGCCTACATCTAAGTCTTGGTGATTCTAACTTTTGGGAGGATTAGCCTACAAAGCAGACACTGAAGTGCAGGGGAAATAAGAGGAAGACCAAGAGATCGTAGATCAATGAAGTCAAGGCAAGAGGCTATGTCAAGAAACACTGAATGAACTGCTGGAGCCTGCAAAATCACAAACCTCCTCACTTCACCACTCTATGTCACAGATGAGCCACTCCAGAGCAGGAAGTGTGGGGAGGAAATCTACATCCTCGACTTGAATAACAGTAATAGTCTAGAATCACGGTCTCCATTTCCTCAACTCCCTTCTTTCTTGAATATTATAATCAGAATTTTATTCTCATCACTCCACTATAGCTGTTACGGTAAATGTAAACCAGTTCCTATAGCTAAGAGAAATTTTCACTCTGCTATTTGTCTTTCCCTTAGCATTTACACTTTTGATTCCTTTCCTCCAACCTCATTTCTTTCTCTTTTTTCTGTGAGGCACCATCGATTCTCATTGCTACCATTCTATCCCTTCCCTCAGCCATTAGTGGATACATATTCTTTTTGCTGTATTTCCTTGCTGATATTCCTTAGTTTTCTGGCTTTAAATAAATATTTTAACTCTTAGTTGTGCTTTCAGTAACACTTCATTTTATTTCTAAAACTAAGTCACAGATCCTTTGTTGGCACTTAAGGTATTTTGAGAGGCTCACTGATACCTCTAAAGAAAAAAATGCTATGCTTATCAGAAAATATACTTATGGAAGAATAAAAGAAGTAGATACAGTTGACACAAATATTTCAGTCATCAGATCACCCAAGACTGGAGCTTATTAAATATATAAAGCATTAATTTTGTAATCATGTGACTCCTTATATATTCAATGATATATTTTCAGAAATCATTCAACTACAGAACTTCCAGAGGTTGAGATGAAGCTTAAGATCTGAATCTGTAATAGAACAGAACAGCGAACCCAGAAATAAACGCACGCTTATATGGTCAATTAATCTATGACAAAGGAGGCAAGAATATACAATGTGAAAAGACAGTCTCTTCAATAATGGTGCTGGGAAAAACGAGCAGCCACATGCAGAAGAATGAAATTGGACCCTTTCTTATACCATTAAACATAGATAATTTTCTTACTGGATCCTATCTATATTGACTATGTGGCATTCTGTAATATTAAGCAAATAGGCAGGTTAATGATAATCTATGTAAATGAAAAATGCAAGAAAACATTGATGTGTGATTATGAAATGAAAGGTAAAATTAGATTTTTTCTGCCATTTCTGCACATAGTTGATCACTGTATATTACATAATTATACTGTGTGTGGTGGTCATCAACTCTGTTTTCTTAATTAGGTCAAGCCATAGGGAGATTTCTATTTTAGGCCCAAAAGATTGAACATTAGTTGTTTTATGTGGCTCAACCTATTAGTTTTTCTCACATTGTTCAGAAGAGGTTTTAACATGTTGGTGAGGGAGAAAGGACAAGAATTCATAATTTGTGATGTGTGACTTAAAAAAAATTAATTTATTTTAAAATTCACTTTTATTCAGTATAATTACTTAGTGTGTACAATATTCCTATAATTTTAAACAACTAGGTGATCAAAGTTTCATTTTCTGTCAGTTGTATTTTTAACATTGAGATAATTTTATTAATGCTCATAGATATCCATGTGGGCTAGAATGGTATTAGTTTTTGAAACTTTATATTTTCTCCCAACTATTAGGGGTTTTCTTCTTATTCTTATGATTTTTCATATCTTATGAGTAATAAAGACCTAATATCTTAGTAAGTATAACTAATATACCTTTCTTCTATATATTAAAATAGTAGAATATAAGTTTTTTGCATTAATATTAAGGATGCAAATGAAAAGACTACGAAGATTTAATTTGTAGAAATTTAGAAATCTTAAATAAAAATCTACACATTAGCTTAGAAACATTTTTCTTACCTTCATTCTTTCAAATTGAGATAGAACTCTGAGTGCCCGAATGAATTTAATGGAAATAAGTGGTTTTAATTCCTCCCGAGATTTGCCGATTAAGCTAAGACAAAACACCTAAATATATTTAAGGATAAAAGAGTTAATAGGGTTTAATTTTAACTTAATCAAAAAATCTGCAAAATAAACTTTGTATTTATTACAAAAAAGATAAAAACTCAAACCTTACCAAGAAATATGCAAAAGATTTAATGTATACTTCCATATATCTTAACAATGACATATAGAAATGTATAAGAAAATAACTTTGTTTTAAAATTACTTTAAAAAGATAAAACAAATATTTTCTGGTAGTAGGAATATATATCATTGAGATAAACAAAAATTTGTATATTTGACATACTTTATGATCAAGGGTTAATATTTATATCAATTTTTAGTTTGAAATTAGATTAAGAATCAGTTTCATGATTTTTTGCAATCTAGTAATAGTATACTATGTATTCATAAAAGCAAAATTTGGAATATATTTACATATGAATTCATACATAAATATGGTTAAGAAAATAGAATAGGATTTCAGAGAAGAGGATCAAGGAAGATATGAATATTTTTAAGTCCAAGTACAAATTACAAAAATGTATACAAAGATACGAAGGTGAATGAGACTCTTAATCTCAGGAAACAAACTGAGGGTTGCTGGAGTAGAGGGGGGTTGGAGGGATGGGGTGGCTGGGTGATGGACATTGGGGAGAGTATGTGCTATGGTGAGTGCTGTGAATTGTGTAAGACTGATGAATCACAGACCTGTACCCTTGAAACAAACAATGCATTATATGTAAATAAAATAAACAAATAAATAAAATAAAAATAAAATACTAGAGACTTAAAAAAAAAGATGCTAAGGTGATTTTTTTAAAAGTACGCATATGCATAAAAATCATTCGGGGTTGGGGCGCCTGGGTGGCTCAGTGGGTAAGCGTTCGACTCTTGGTTTCAGCTCATGTCATTATCTCGGGGTCATGAGGTTGAGCCCCATGTCTTGGGCTCTATGCTCAGTGCATGGTCTGACTGGGCTTCTCTCTTTCCTTCTCCCTCTGCCCCTCCCCCTGCTCTCTCTCTCTCTCTAAAATAAATAAATAAATAAATAAATAAATAAATAAATAAATAAATAAATAGATTGTGATTGTTAGAATAATCAGGTGATTGTTAGAATAATCCAGGAATGAAATGTTGAATTTTTAAAATATTAGGATGAGAAGAAAAGGATAATCGTTAAGCATTACATATGAAGATACAGGGGATTTTGGTAACTGAAAATGTACAGAGAGAGGAAGATATAAGTAAATGCAAGAATTAAGTAAAAATCAGAGTAAAGAAGAAAATCAAATAATAAACTTTTAAATTTTTCTTTAAAATACATACAATAACAACCATGAAGTCTAGCTTGTACCAGCCATTAGTGAAATAGGCTTTAAAACCATATGCCATCCACTTTAGAAGCATTTCCAGAATGAAGATGTAAGTGAAGATCATGTCAGCATATTCTAATAAGATTTTAATAGTCTTTCTCTGGTCAATATATATATCCTCAAAAGCCTGTGGGTAAAAAATTTAAGGATTAGTATACATGTAATTTCTAAAAAATCTTTGGCATAGAGAGGAATGAAATGCCCTCCCTAGTAAGCACTTGGTGAGCAAAGTCATAGGTTGTAGTTTAAAGTTTGGTTCAATTTGTTTGGATTTATTCACATAACCCATAAGTATCATTTTCTGATCCCATACCCATAGCAGACATTATTAATTGGTCCCAGAACTTCTTCTTATACAGACTGAATTTGGCACCACAGTGGTCCAAAAAACTTTTCTCAAATCAGTTAATCACACTAAATATATGAGGTGAAACCTTTACTCACATCTGACTGGTTCTTATCTCTAATTCCATGTTGCCAACTCGCAGATATATGCTAGTTGCTAATAGAGAAGTAGAGATTTTTTCTAAAATGTGTCTTCAGATATCCACACTGCTGTTAAAAGAAAAGTCACAAAGCTTGCTCTGCTGCAGAAATAATCAGGTAAACCAGTGGAAGCACATGAATATGAAATAAAACTATAAACATTTCTCCAAAGCTTCTTAGATTTAATAGGTTAACCTTAATTTTACTGTGGAGGATGCAAAGTCTGACAATGTCATTTAAAGCAATTTTGTGTTTTTATTTTGGCACTGAAAAAAGGCAATAAAGTACCAATAACATCAGGCAGACTTGTATCAAAGTGCATTAAAGGTCAAAAAGTAATCAAGGATTAATATAAGTGTATGCAAATAATGGCGTGATTCTTACAAGTCTAATGCTAAATAAAAGTAAATATAACATGACAGTAGAGTTACTGACTTTCAGTTGAACCAATTATGGAGTAAAAGTGTCTATATAACCAAATCATAAATATCTAAAATGATTATAAAGGACTTTATTACATGTATTTGTTTATTAAATAGTATAGAATGCAAAATAATATAAAAAGATACACAGAAGTCTCCAATTAAAAAAAACATATAAAATGGGCAAAACTAATCTATGGCAGTTGAAGTCCACATACCAGCTACCCATGTGGAATGTGGAAGTAATTGTTAGGGGTCAGAGTATGTGGTTCTGGAGTCCATGTAATGTTCTATTCCTCAAGCTAAGTGACAGTTACACAGGTGCATTCATTTCGTGAAAATTCTTTAGCCTATACACTTAGAATTTCCATGGTTTTCAGTATGTGTGCTAAATATCAATATAAAGTTTATTTAAAAATGTATGCAGTACAAAGTCTGGTTCCCAGCTGTGACTCCATTTTCTCTGCTCTGTGCATTTCACAATTAACTATTTCTTGTGTATCCTCCTCTGATCTTCAATCAAATATAAGAAAATAATATACATTTTATTTTTTGTTACTTCCTATGTAAAATGTAGCATGCCTCATTCAATATTAAATAAATAAAACAATTTCAAAATACATGAGTGACCGTGGGAAACATGAATGTTAATAGATATCTAATAGATACACTTTATTCTAGATCTTCCTTTTTTCATTTATTACTACATCTTGCAATATCAGCACGCATACAGCTTTTGTATTTTTTTAAAAAATCCATTTATTTATTTTGGAGAGAGAGAGTGAGAGAGCAGGGGTAGAGAATCCTGAAGCAGGGTCTCTGCTGAACATGGCGCCTGACCTGGGGCTGGATCCCAGGACCCTGAGATCATGACCTGAGCCAAAACCGAGTTGGCAGCTTAACCCATTGAGCCACCCAGGCACCCCAGCTTTTATATTTTTAAAATAGCTGCACAGTATCCCATTGGGTGATTGCACCATAGTATATTTAAACAATCCCTTATTATGGACTGTTTTTGCTTTTCAATCTTTTTCTATTACAAAGAATTCTTCAGTGAATAGCCTTGTAAATGCCTTTAATACATGCTCAGATATTTGTAGGATAATTTCCTAGAATTAGGGTTGCTGGGTCAACGAGTGAATACATTTTTGGTTCAAAGATTGTTTAAAAGTATAGACAGCACTTCTCTTTCCTGATTGAATTGGTACCAAAGTACTAGCACAGTACAACAGTATGTATGTGCATATTATTAAACTTTGTCTCATACATAAAACTTTATTAAAGTAAGAATTAGGTATCTAACATTCATTTTTCCTACTGTCATTCATATATTTCAAAATTGTTTTGCTTATTTAATATTGGAAGAGGCATATACAGAATTTAAGAAACTGTAATGTATGTCTTCCAAAGGTAAAATCACAGAATATGAACTTCGCTGCTATAAAAAGTTTTCCAGGGAAAACTAACATGATGACTTCAAGTAACAGACTTCAGGTACATTTTTTTCCCATAAATGCCTCACATACTTACTTACCAGAGCACCTGTGCTGAGCAGAGTGACAAGGCCAATGAAACACTTAAAACAACGGTTTTCCACTATCTTGCAGCAGGTTTTCCTTATGTTCTGCCAAATTTTTCCTTTCTTGGATTCTCTACTAAGTTGGCCAGGTGAAGATCTTTGTCTATAATCTGTCAAGAATGAAACTGCTAAGAAGAAGAATCTTAAAAATCATGAAAAAGTAAACATCTCAAACTTTCTACCATATTTACGGAATCTAATACAGGTGCTCTCTGACTTACAAACATTTGATTTTTACCTCTGCTGCTGTGACCACTGCAGTCATTGAGGTAAGAAAAGAAAAACTTAACTTGTGAGTAGTTTCGGAACAGTACAAGGAAAGAAATTGTGAAAGGCAGAGATAACTTAGAACATCCCCTAGCCTTGTGGGACAGAGTCTGAGAATAGAATTTATCCCCCACCCTTCAAAAAAAAAAAAAAAAAACCCACATACAACATCTTCTACATATCACATTTTGGTATAATGTCTGGAAGTTCATTCTCTGAAGATTCACATGGCATAATAAGCATTCTCATTTAAGTACACAGATATTTATGAAACATTAAGAAGTATAATATTAGTTAAGTCAGTTAAATTGATGTTAGGTCTTAGGTGGCATGAGAATGGGATTCTGACTGAGACTATCTGAGGAGCCCCCCTGGATTACAGAGTACTTTGTGGGTAGGATGCATGTGTAAGGGTTGAACTCTACCTTCTGGTTAAGAAAGTTAGCTTATAACACCCCAGACTTGAGAAGACAGTGCTTAACAGGTGAGAAAACCAAGAAACAGGGGTGGGTGGAGTTTAAAGTCAATGCATTTCATTTTAGAATTTTACCTACTGTCACTTTATACATCTTTGGTAAAAAAAATATATATATAGGAAATGTTTCCCCCTTTGTGTTGAATGATACAAGTCCTAGAAGTTGAGCTACTGAGAGCAAGTTCTTATTTTGAATAGAGGAATTTGAGCATTTAGCAGTTATCATTCTGATTTCCAGTGATTTCCAATGTCCAGAACCTGTAATTATTTGTTAATCTTGCTAGGAAACTAATTTGAATTATAAGTCATCAAGAGATGTATGTTACATATCTCGTAAGTCAATCAATTGACTGAAGCCTTATACATTTCTTCATATTCATGTGAGATATAAAAATAAATCACCATTACATGATTTGTTTTCCTATGAAAGATAAAGGATGTTTTCATATGAGTATTTTGAATATCGACTGTATCCCATGAAGCATAAAAGTACACAACACATGCACACGTGCATGCACATACATACACATACACTTATTTAATCTTTTTACCCATCCTGTGAGGTAAGTTTTATTATTATCCTCAGTTTACATATTAGGAAATGAGCCTGAGAGAGGTAAGTAAAAGCTAGTCGATGGTGGGCTGGGATTTGAACTCTGGCTATCTGATTCCAGAACCAATGCTCTTAACAACTGTATTAAACTTCCTAGGAAATAGGCCCTCTCCCTCTTATCCAAATGTTGACTTTTTTATTTACATTCCCTATAAATTTTATCAGGATTCATATGGGCATGTGTGCATGCACCATATATTTGTGTGTGTGTTCCTTAACCAAATTAATAAACTCTCTAAAATTAAAATATATCCAATAGTATTAGTTAGGTTAAGAGAAATTTAGTCTAATTTCAATATAATGATCAAAGGAACTTATTTTTTTTCAAGATTTTATTTATTTATTTGACAGAGAGACACAGCAAGAGAGAGAACACAAGCAGGGGGAGTGGGAGAGGGAGAAGCAGGCTTCCCGCCGAGCAGGGAGCCCGATGTGGGGCTCGATCCCAGGACCCTGGGATCGTGACCTGAGCCGAAGGCAGACGCATTAACGACTGAGCCACCCAGGCGCCCCGAAGGAACTTATTTTTTTCTCACCGTTTTTCAGATGCTTTGGCTTCTCACATTCACAAACCATTTCTTCTTCTTCAGAGATAGCAATGTCAACTGTACTGCATTCAGATGAGCTAGATTGCTTTACCTTCTGAAAAGTAAAGTCCCACCAAAAAAGCTGTGATTAAAGCTTCACTGGAGTTCATTTCATTTTCAGAAATAAGAAAAATTGTGTACAGAATGACTTTTATCAGATTTAAAGACTTTTCAGGCTAATTTCAGGATTGACATTAAAATGCATACATATTTCTGTGAGTTGAAGTTTTAAAAAATTAATTAAAAATTCATTTAAGCTAAAATATTTAACATTCAGTTCATAAAACCATTCTCCTTAAAGATTTATAGAATACTGTATCTCCAGTACCCAAAAGGATTTGAGTTTCAAAGCTCTCTTGAAGTTATTCACAAGGGTTCCATATATGCCATTTCAGCTAGCTGAGCAGTATCAGAATATTACCCCTTGATGTTAAAGATGGGTAGACAAGAGTGCACTTAGTTTGTATTGTACAATCCAGTCCAGACATGCTTGTGTTTACCATCATAGGATAGGACTGATGTGAAGTTATCCTGAGGTGAAATGAAGAAACGGCACAAGGAATAAGGGTCAGGAATAGACCTGGGAAAGGGGTACCAGCCCTATGGAGAGAGGCTATTTGCAGGGATTGACATTCTTTCTCACTCTGCTCTTGAATGAAGTTCAAGTCTGTATAGGATAAGATAGCCATGATTTTGTATATGTGGTAATAATGCATGTGACATGCATGGCTTTTATTTGAAATGATTTTCTCACAATGCTTTATTTTACTTCATTTTAAAATAAATATACAACATATCATCCTTTAAAATGCCCAAGATCTTAAAGTTAATAAGGAAGATTATTTTATAATTAAAGAGTAAGATAAATGTATTAAAACATATGGGGAAAAAAGTCTTATTTCTTAAAGATTAAGGAAAGATCTAAGTAAAGTATATCAAAAGGAAAATTGTAAGTATAGTGTCCTACCGATTGGTCTTATCCACAATAAATGTCAAGGAAATCTAATTAGGAAGTTCTTTTTGCCTTAGACCTTACATGGTCAATTGTCAGTAAGACATTTGGTGCTCAATTAAAAAAATATATCCATCAGGAGATTACTCTTAAACAAATTGCATTTATTATTTCAATTCCTCATATTTTCTTTATTTCTGATGAGATAAAGGCTCTAGCAAGGTACTGATTTGAAAGTAAACAATAAATAAATGAATATTATACAGCACTTGGACATTCAATAATTGAAAATCATACACCTTATATTTATGTTATTTTAGAATTCTTACATCGACTATTTGATGTCATTTTTCCAAATGTTTTTTAGTATGTATTATTCCAAATTTAAAAATAAATCAATTGGGATTCAAAATTATAAATAATTTTATCAGAAGACTACTTAATAGCATGAGAAAGTGACCATGTTATACTGTTACATTATCAAAAGTTATAAAATCCAGTGTAAATTTCGATGTTATTTTTATGACTACATAAATTTAGTTATGTTGCAACTAAAAAATGGCTGAAAGTTTAAATACCAAAGAAAGAAGAGAGTGTATCTCAGAATTATCAAATCACATGTGACTTTATATTCTTTGGTTTTTAGTAGATCAGCATCCTAAAGTACTCATGAGTTGTATAATCTTTAAAGTGTCTAAATTAAATATGTAACTAAATATACAGATAACTGAATAAACCTATGAGTAGCTAATCAATCAACAGGAGCATTGATTTGTTGCTGCAGATTATGCAGCATAAATTACAACTCCTGAAACCTCACCATTTACAATTATATTTAGTGTCATCCTTTCTACATATGTTCATATCCCAGACTTTCTAATGAGATTGGCAAGAAGTTTCCCAGAGCATCTCAACATGATGTGCTGTGATAAATAGCAATTTTACCCAGAAATAGATGGTAGTCAAAGTTGTAAGTGAAGATATGTAAGTGTAGCTGGAGAAGAGTTTTCCCTGTTTTCTAGAAATGATATTAATTAAGGGAAAATGAACCTAAAAATATTGGGCATGCTAAGGAGTGAAAGTGTTTCTCTAACACAAAGATAGATGCCTTCACTAGGAGCTGGAAGGATTTTGAATAATTGCAATTCAACTCCTGTTAGGTCAGTTTGAGAAGTTATTGCAGAGCAGCTGCCAATTGGAAGAGATCTGGGTGACAAGACAGTGCCGGAGACTTTTCTGGGGATGTGGAAAGAGACATTGTCTTCCCCCCCTCTCAGTGCCTGTGAGTGATCTGAGATGGTTCCCTACTGAGGTACAATGCAAGAAGCTCACAGAGCAGTTGTGATCTCTGTAGATGTAGCTTTCTATTAAATTACACCTCCTACTGAGATATCTTAGTGTTTGCAAATGAAGACACTAAGGTTGATTCCAGTAGGGTGTACATTTTAGAAGCTAAGTTAACAGCAGTATCTATACTTCTTTGAATGTGTTGGGTTTTTTGTTGTTGCTGCTGCTTTGTTTTGTTTTGTCCTGGAATTGATAAAGCTACACACTGCTCACAATTCAAGCTGGTGGGTCTTCTTTATTCTTTTAGTCCAACTCAACTATATATGTTATAGTAAACTTTGCAGAAATAAAGTGACAAGAATCCTAGAATTTTAGCAAGTAAGAAAGTATTTTAGCTTTTCTGTAGTCCAGTTTCACATTTCAAAAATGATAATGCCCAGGAGAGTTTAATGATTTCTCTGATAATACACACTGATTTTGAAAACTTGGGTTTCTTCAATATGTTTTCATCATCCCATATTGCCTGCTTATTAATTTACCGAATTTTGCAATTATATTATCTGATTTTACTAAGTGTTTACTAGAGACTGGGCATTGTTCTATGCACCATTGAACGATTTTTCTCAGTCCTGTCCTCCCTAAGAAATAGATTCAATTTTATCTGAATTTATAGAGAAGGAACCTGAAGCTTAGACAGGTAAATTAACTTGATCAGGAGCAAGGAGTGCCATGGCTAGGATCGAATGGGTTCTCTAACTCTGCAACCTCAACACAGATTCACTTTCTTACCAATAACGCCTCAAATCAACAATAGCAATCAGAATATTCAAACATCTTACCTCTTTGCTGCTCCCATCACCTGACTTGCTTTGAACCTCCTTATTATCCAGATTTTCTATATCAGATTCTCCTGAAGCAATTGGTACAGTTTCTGAGGCACTAGGACTGGGGATAAGTGATTGACTCTCATTTTCAGTCATTGTGTTTTTCTCTGTGCCACTGCTTTTTCCCTTATCCTTGAGGAAATCTTGAGTGTTGCTTAATTCAGAAAGTGTATGGTCAGAAATAGTCTCTTTAACATACATAGCATTTACATTGTCCATTGTGTCCTTTGAAACATTTTGGTTTTTGCATAATATTTTAGAAAGCACATAGTTTATTCCTTTCTGAATCTTTGCTACTGCACGCTGGAGATTTTTTGCTTCATCATCCTCTTCAGCTGTTTTAGCCTCATATGAACTAAATGAGCTCACCAATGCCAGGAACAGGTAAATTATCTAAATGAGGAAGTAGATGAGGTTAAGTTTATCTCACTTTTTGTTTCCTTCTAAACAATAAAACATCTTTTTTAAAAAGCTGATCTGAGATTTGCAAACAGAATACGAACTACAATGCTATGTAAACTCTACTGTTCTTACAGTGGGTCGTGTGCTGTGCTAAGAGTTTGTACAGCCAGAACTCATCTTAGGTTCACAACATTCTATGACATATCATTTGTTTCTCTTTTATATATGAAAAAGGCAAGGCTTACAGGGGTCAAATATCAAAGCTCACAATGATTGGACTCAAGTCTGTCTCATTCCAAAGCTTGTTTTTCTTTACTGAGCCAGGCTACCTCTTCCAAGATGAGAAAACAAACTGCCTCTTCAGGTGGCTGACCGCTTCAGCACTATCCCAGGAAGACATACAATGACATCTTCACGAGTTCTGCAAACCCACAAGGAATATCACGGGGAGAAAGCTATTCCTGGTTCTGAAGCCTGCATCTAAATTTTCTCGCAACATGCTAGCACAGAGAATGGGTAGGTTAATTGATTCTCTGTAGTAATAAATTTGGTTAGATAAGAAAGAGATGAGTGATGGAAGCATCATTCTTAATAGTTGTAAGTTATTTGAACTCAAGGACAGTGTATATTTTGACCTTTATTATCACTGAAAGATATGATCAAGCCACATTTAGTTTCCAGAGAATCATATTTTATCTTGTTTGTGATTGTAAGACATAGATAATATTTTTGGAGTTTAGAGTTGGAGATTCATATTGATAATTCTTTTAGACTTAAAAAAATAATTTGAGCATCTTGTTTGTTATGGAAGTTTTCTGCCTCTCTTCGGATATCTGAGCTTTTTATGATTTAATTTCTTTTATGTTTTACATATTGTTTTTAACGGGCAAAGTTCAAATGACATGAATTATGTTTAAGAATATATATATAAATAATATGTATATATGCTAAGATAAAATTTACTTACAGATAATATGGGCAGGGGCTCTACGGCCCTTGTACGAATTACATTATTAGCATTTCTATCATTCTTAAGAGGGCAACACCAAATATAATTTTAGGTTGTTGGTTGTTTCTTTTCCTTCCTTTGGTTATTAAGCATGGTGAGAAATAAGGGAAGGGTGTTAGGTAAGAATTTCATGACTATAAGCTTCATGTGAGCAGGAACCAAGTTTTCTCTTAAGTAGATAACTAACACAGTGCTAGGCACAAAATAAGTGATAAATACGTATTCATTGAAAAAATTAATTATAGAATGAATGAAAGAATAGATTTTGTGATAGGATTTGGAGAAGGAAAAATTTTGTTACTACGGTCGTATTTTTAAGAGCTTACAATCTAGGATTTCTTATATCTTAGACACACATACCCCCCACACAATACCTGCAGATTTACATATACAGTAAAAATGTTAAAAGGCTGAAAATGAAATTCAAAATCTCTGAACTATGGCATAAAGAAAAATCTTGCAATACTACAAGATGCTACTGTATTGTTCGAGTGTGCACTGAATTAAAAGTAGTCTCTTAAAGGAATAAAAAGGAAAAAGAGAATGTGTAAATCACCAAAACTAAAGAGGACTGGCTACTTCTTATTTGAGCATTAATAGAGAAGGAAGGGGGAAACACAAAGATTATATTACATAAGTTTAGAGTAACTTTGTTCTAGTCATAGTGTTTTTATAAAGAGATTCCAAACATTTTTTTGTTTTTGTGTTAAAAGATAAAAGATAAAATAATGTTTATAAAACAAAACATTTAAATGTCTCCCCCGAAATTTGCCCTCCCCTTTACCTCAAAGATATCTATCTGTTAGGTGAGAATTGAGCAACTCTTATCAAAATAAAGTAGTAGGGAAGAGAAAGAAGATTTAAGACTTATTTAAGTAATTATTTTTCAAGTACTTTTCAAGTATTTTGCAAGCATTTTTCAAGTATTTTTAAAGTACGAGTAATAATTTGATTAGTAATCAAGGAGTTTAACATACATGAAGATTCTATTTTAATATTGTTCAAATTATACCTTAATTTAATTTGGGAATATGTAAATATGTTGAGTAACATACATATTTATCATCAATTTTTTATTTTTAAAAAGCTACTGCATTTTATATTGTTTTCTATTTCTTTTCTTTCTGTGTTTCTATCCCTCAACCAGAGACCACAATTCACTTGGTGGCAACTACTTAAATTGCAGGTAAAAACACTTGAAGGGTTTGCATAACTGAAACTTCTAAATAATGTTTAATTAACAAAATTCTATAAATGTAGGAGTTGTAATTTTCTAGAGTTTAAAGAAAGTGAAACAAACATTTATGAATATTTATGGAGTGCTAGCTATGTTATTTAAGTTACAATAACCACATAAGGCATATATTATTGTTATGTTCATTCTCCTATTAGAGATTGTCAGGCTTAAAGAGGCTAAGTAATATGCACAAAGCCATTTAATTAGTAAATGATAGAACTGGAATTTGAACCTATGTTTTCTTGGATCTGAACTCTGTTATTTTCTACAACTTAACACTGCATATAACTATTTTAAAAACCACTTAAATACTTGCTTTTGTATATGATCATGTTTTAAGGTTTCCACTTAAGGTTGAATCATTGTTGGAATTTTGTTGGGCAAATAAGATAAAGTTAAATCTAAAAAATGCGAAATACCTTCTTTTTACATCAATATTGAGTTTTAGTGTGAAATTACAATGCTATAATGAAATGAGTTGGAAGTACAGGAGGAAAGATCTATAGCCTTACAGATTCTCTCCTTGCATTTTTTTCCCTTGTATTTACTCTAGTGTTATTATCATGATGTCCCATAAGTGGATGACTGTTGAGGGGAATAAAGTTTAAAAGATTCAGTAAGCCAAGCAATATAATGACCAATCAATTGGAAATGGAGGCTCGTGTAACTCCATTTTACCCTGAAATCCCTCTGCCTATTTACATCAAGTTTCTGATCAGTAGGAAAGAGAAAAATAAGAAACAGAGTGGAGTTCAAAAACAAAGAAACAGAAGTACAATTATATAACTGCCTCAGCATTTTTGCTTCTTTGTGAAGTGTGTGTGTGTGTGTGTGTGTTATTTATGCCAATAGCCATCAACAACGGCCCTTCCTTTTCAGAACAGAAACTTATATCTCATTTGGGAAATCACCCTTATCTCATTATTAGTTGTATGATTTGGGTTTGGAATGATACCAACTCCAGCTCCAGGATAGGGTTCTGAGTAGCTTAACATAATAATATATTAATATATTCTACACTTTGCACAATAAATAATAAATGTATTCCACACCCTGAGCAATAGAGATTGGTTTACAAATAGACATGTGACTCAGAGCTAATAAGATAAGAGGAGAAATTTGCTGTGACTTCTAGGAAAGAAACAAGAATTTCTCTTTTATTAGACTTGCATGATATGAACACATGAAGCTTTACACTGCAGCAGCCATCTTGATAAAACAGAGGCCACTAGGGGCACCTGGGTGGCTCAGTCATTAAGTGTCTGCCTTCGGCTCAGGTCATGATCTCAGGGTCCTGGGATCGAGCCCTGCATTGGGCTCCTTGCTCTGTGGGAAGTCTGCTTCTCTCTCCCCCTCTCCCCCTACTTGTGTCCCCTCTCTGGCTGTCTCTCTCTGTGAAATAAATAAAATCTTAAGAAAAAACACACACACAAAAAACCAGAGGCCACTAGCCAGCAAAGGGCATACAGGAGACAAATCTGTGATATGCAAAGATCTGTCTCTAACAACCTTGTTTGAACATATGTGTCATACCACAACTGAAGTGAAATCTATCTCTGACATTTTGAGTTATGCATGCTGGTATATATATGTTGATTTTTGTTTCAGCCAGTAAGAATAGGGTTATGTCAGTGGGACTTGAAAGTGTACTGACAGCTACAGAGGCAGAGGTCATTGAAATATTTTTACATGTTGGGCTCTGTTCTAGGCTTGCATGATATAGAGAATAGTCTTGATCCTTTCCTTTGTGGAGCTTAGTTTAATAAGGAAGGTTGAGATAAGTACATCAACAATTAAACATAATGTCAGCAGCGCTAAGTGGACAGAGGTTATAACCAAGGTGAAACAGAAGCCACGAGGAAGGGCACCAATAGATACAATGGAGTCTAACCTGTGATTTTTTTTTTCCAGTCTTTTGGAAAATATATTTGATCTCTATGACTTTATGAATAAAAACCAAATGTTGAATCCTTTTTTTTCCTGTAAGAGCAGTTTTCTTTTATAAGCCATTCCCTTTTCTTGGAAGAAGTGAAAGCTACTTACTCAATCCATGTAACACCAGTTCAATTACTGGGAATTTAAAAGTGATAGCTTCCTCTTTTAGTTAATGCACAGTAGTTTTATAAACCAATGATTTTCAAACTTTGCTGCACAATTTAATCAGGTGAAAACTTTTAAAAAATCCTGATGACCACACTATGTCCACAAAACAATAAAATCAGAATCTCTGGGAATGGATCCAGGGCATTACTATAATTTTATTAATTCCCCAGGTTATTCCAATGTGCAGCCAAGTTTGACAACCAGTGTTACATTTAAGTGCTTCTTAAAATTTTAATGTGCATACAAATAACCTGGGGTTATTGTTAAAATGTGAATTCTACTTCTGTAGGTCTGGGATGGGGTCTAAGAGTCTGCATTAATAACTATTTCCCACATGATGTCAATGCTACTTGAGTAGCAAGGTTATAAAACAGTGCTATCCAACAGAAATATGATGCATGTCACATATGCAACTTTCTAGTAGCCACATTAAGAGCATAAATAAAAACAGGTGAAATAAATTTTACTAACATATTTTATTTAACTAAATATATCAAAAATGTCATTTTAAAATTCATTCAATATAAAAATTACTAATAAAATAATTTACACTCTTTTAGACTTCAAATCCAGTGGGTATTTCCACTTGTAGTGCATCTCAAATTGAACCACTCATATTTCAAGTGACCAACAGCCACATGGGGCTAGAGGTCCCCATATTGGACAACACAGTTAATAGACCACTGGATCCCATAAATCCACATCATGAAAACACCAGACTACATTGCATCAGTTTTTCAACGAAAATTTAAAAGCATGGATTACTTACCAATAAGTTTCCAATTAAAATGACCATCATGTAAAAAGGAATACAACCAAATTGGCCTGCTACCTTAAAGCAATCCCATAAAGTCTCTATCCACTCTCCACAGAGAATCCGGAACACATTCAGGTAGGAGTGGAAGAAGTCATGCATGTGCCAGCGTGGGAGTCGACAGTCTTTGTCTATGTTGCAGACACATACTTCATAACTCATACCAAACAGCGTCAGGCCAACAACAGCAGAAAAGAATGTGAAGATGAACAACAGCAGGACCAAGTCTTTCAGGGCCACCAAGGAGTTATGAAGAATCTGCATCAGAATCTTAAATGTCAGCCAGTATTTTGCCAACTTGAAAATTCTCAACTAATACAGCAATGCCAGAAACAACAAAAATAAGAAACAAACAACAAAAAACCTGGTCACTATTTATTATGATGTACATTTAAAATTTTTATCAGCATTATATACATACACATACAGTCTTTAGTGTAATACTCAGTTTTAAGTATTATTAATACTAACCACTGAAAATTAATTTTTATACAATTCTTAATACATCATACATATTCTGTATTTTTTACACTAGATCCATACATATCTTCTTTTGTTGATTTGTCAATTTCCACTCAATATTATCTGATTGTAACTACTTTAGTTTTATGTTTTAATATCTGGTAGGGCAACTATCCATTCTTTGTTTTGCTTTTCACAACACATATAGATGATATTGAAAAGAGTCTGTTAGGTCCCATTAAATTCCATTGAAGATTCTATTATGTATTTTCCTTTAAAGTAACATATCAGAAACCAAACTCAGCAGTCTAGGTTTAGTCTGAACATTTCTCTTCTTTTCACTAGATTTTTTATTTCTATTGATACAGGATAGGATTACCTTAAGATTTTAGTCACCATATTACAGTGAACTTAATCATCTAAAACTGAGACATCATTTTTATATATGTTATGCCTTCCCCAACTTTTTCTAGTATATAGTTGGCTTTCTGGACTCAAGAGTAGGGCTTCACATTTATCCATGTAAAACTGAATCATTTATATTCAGTCCATACTAGCCTTTCAGATACTTTGATACTATCTTTTATCATATATATATATATTATATATATGTATATATAATATATATATATATTTTGGTATTTACCAGTCTTGTTTCATCCATAAATTTGATAGGTACATCTCATATATGTTTATCTTACTGATTAGAAAAGTCTACAGGTGAGGACTTAAGACAGTGTTCTGAAGAATTATTTGGATGAGATCAAATCTACTTAATTGTACTTGACTCCTGCTACATTCCTTCACTTCTTACCAGAATATATTACTTACCAAGTACTTAATATTTCCATACACACTCTTCTAATAACATTATTTCCTTGGCTAGTTTTCTAATTCTTACTACCACCCTACATTACAAACATATACTAATTCTTAATAATTTTCATAATAATATTCCCCTGGTCTGACTGGTCTTTTATAAAGTTTTCTAACTCTACATTTAGAAATACCTGATTCCAGTTCCTTAGTTATACACTGGCATTCAGCTTCTGGGACTCCACATTATCCTGTTCCAGGGACAGAGCTGATGGTAACCCTGGTCCTGCTTCCTAAAACTAGACCGTGAATTTGCTACATATGTGAAGTATTTCCTTTGAGGCTTTGGTCAAATGATAGCATTGGAAAATGCTTATTCTTCCTGGCACTTTCTAAGCTCTTTACATAAAAATTATTTCATTTATTACTCCAAATGTCCCAATGGGATAGGCATTACTATTTTCCCCATGTTGTGCCTGAGGAAGTGGAGATAAATTTTCATAAAATAAAATTTAGATCTTGGATTCTACTTACCACCCTGAATGTTCGAAAAAGAGCCATTCCATGAATATTTGCTAGATAAAGCTCTGCTAAACCATGGAACACAATCAGGCTATCAAAAATGTTCCAACCTACTTGAAAATACCCATATGGATGCATTGCAATTATTTTCAAAATCATTTCTGTTGTGAAAATTCCAATAAAAATCTAAACAAAAACAAAACACAGATGAGAATATGCTTCCAATTACACTATCGGAAACCTCATACACGAAAGCTATAACTTTTCACTGACACATTCTTCACAGTTCCTCTGTCAAGATCTGATTAGTTTTGGATTCTGTATTATAAGGATAGACTCAAACATTTTTAATTTAACAATCTAACATCAAACATTGTATACAAAATCTTCAATTATTAAATAAAAACTATCCTGAAAGACAACAAAAGAATATTTAAAGAAGAAAATCTTTTCATTTTGAATGGTTCCTTTAGGGATATGGAATACATGATAAGATATTTAATTTTTTAAATTGTAAAAGAATTTAAAAAGTACATATGTGAACCAGGAAAAAAAATCAAAGTAAGCCTATGAACACTGTCTCTTGAAAACTATACTGGCAGAAATGACTAAATTGTTGTATTAGTACCAAGTAAATGTATAATTCAAAATGGGTAACAGTTTGGCAATTTATACTAATACCAAGCAACAAACAACAACCACCATAAAAACAAAGAAAATTAAACATTGTATATTTTCTTGAATGTGACTTGTTTTTAAACTCACAGAAATCTGTTTTGCTTTTTGCATTGTATTGATAAAAAAAAGGATAAGTTCCCATCTAAGGCAAAGATAGGTGGCTAGAGCAGACAGGGCAGGTACGGTTGTAGTCAGGATTCAGAATTTAGGTGTCAGTGAGGAACTTGTATTTGTTATTTCACCTCTGCCTTGCCCTGATCTATGGAGCTATGGTACCAAGAGAGGATATGTTTGGGAAGGGAGAGGAAATAAATAATATTTCCACTTAACCTAACTGCCAAGCAACTGACTAGAATCTCAGACTTAAATGGCAGAATTTTAAACTTTAGCTACAAACCTATTCGATGATAAGAACACCTACAAAGCAGAGCTGGGGGTGGTTGGTTGTGGAAGTATGAACATAATACTTCATCTGATATGCATATAATGCATTTGTAACATACTGGAGTTATAAAATATAATAATGGGGATTATGATTACTGAAGAAAAGTTGAAATCGCAAATGAAAATAATGTACAAGAGCCTTACCAGGTTTCCAATGCTGAGAATGTTGTTGGTTTCTTCACTCATTGGATAACATTCCAAGGCCAAAAAACATATGTTTAGAATTATGCATACAGTAAGGGCAAGATCAGTAAATGGGTCCATTATAATCATATGGATAAGCTCTTTCAATTTTAACCAACAGGGAGAACAATTCCAGATCAAGAAAGTTTTAGCAAATCTATACCAACACAATGGGCATCTCTTCCTGGATTTTTCAGGTTCTGAAATGAAGGAATAAAAAAGTTAAATATTAGCAAATTGTTTAAGTTCTAACTAATAAAATATTTGGCTTTTGCATGCAAAGAAATGTTTAAAACTAGACTTCTGATTTGGAATTAGCAAATAGAAATATTTTGTACTAATAAAAATCAGAGCAAAGCAAATTTCCTCTATTTTGTTCATGCTTGCTGAGTTAGGCAAATGAAATAAGACAAACCGTGTATTAGAAGCAAAACATAGCAGTTTCTCTCAAGAAAATAAATATGGAATAAAGTTGAGAGTATTATGATTTATAATTTCCAGATTTTTATGCTTTACAAAATAATACCTTTTAATATTGCCCATGATAATGAGTTACTGGTTATATATAAAAAAGCAGACAGTACAGAAAGGATCTTAATATATTACTGTTATATTATCCAACCTCTATTTTTAGTTATAAGTTAATACTTCTTTGTTGCTTTCAATGTTAAAGAAAATTTCTTAGCACTCTTTGGTGAGTGCTAAGAATGTCTAAAATACCAATGTCTAAAATACCATATGTATGGAATTACTCATTTTAATATTCCTTTCTTTCCTTTCCAATGTCTAAAATATCATGTGTATGGAATTGCTTATTTTAATATTCTTATGTTAGTCCTTAAATTTTTGTTATCTAAAATTCTAAAGAAATTGCAGGATTCCTTTAAAGTGAATCTTATGAATAGTACCTTTCATAGTGTCTAAATATTTTTTACTTTACCTTCCTCATGTCTGATAGCAGCAGTGGCATCATCCAACATATTCAAAGAAGAGATCATAGAAGTTGGTGATCTTTTCTTCATTTCTATTTGTGTGGTCTTGGTCTAAAAAGAAATTAGATGAGTCCAGTGCTGGCTTCTTCCCTTTGTAGATACAAGACTAGAACTATAAGAAGGTTTATAACCTTATTTAAAATGCTGATTCTTAGCTCCAGAAATCTTTTTGGGTTTCATCTTTTGCTACTCTTTACACTATAGGCAGTATTAAACTGATATAGGATCATTTGTGTAATGAATGTGTATAACTTGCAACTCAACAAAATCATTTCATACTATGAGGTCAACTATAAAAGGAGGAAATCAGAAAATATTGGTTTTATTACTCATATTTGACAAACCATTCAATGTATACTTTAGGATTATTGCAAAATATCCAGTTGGCAAACATGCTACTGAATAATAGTATTTCTCAAACACCTTAAATTTTTCCTTGAGGGTATTTTATAACTTTGGAAAAAACTCTCTTGATAAAATCAAAATTATTTGGTTTTGTGATAATGAAATAATCTTGAATAGTATGTAAAAGAATGGATTTAAAGGAGTTGTTATGTAAGATAATTCCATAAAGGAATCACTTCTTTCTGTCATGTCTCTTGAGTAATGGTTTTAAGATATTCTGTTTTGCCGGTATGGTTACACAGAGTTCCAAAGAAGTCCTGCATTAGAAACACATTCTTAGGGTTTGATGTAGATATTATAACTTCTATACCATCATAGTTATCACAAATAGAGCTCAGATGTTTCTAGTGACCAAGTATAAAATTTATATTTGAATTTAAACTCTAAGAAACTGACAATAGTGGGACACCTGAGCGGCTCAGTCAGTTAAGTGTCCAACTCTTGATTTTGGCTCAAGTCATGATCTCAGGGTCATTAGATCGAGCCCTGTATTGGGCTCTGCACTGGGTGTGGAGCCTGCTTAAGAATCTCTCTATCCCTCTCCCTCTGCCCCTCCCCCCCCATGTGTGTGTATGTGTGAGTGTGCGTGCGCATGCGAAAGAAAAAAACTGACAATGGGTAGATAATATTACACCACAGGGTTTCCAACAGATTTTACATTTGGCATACAAGAGAATGATATTTGTATGTTTGTTAACTTGGTAAATAGGTGTGGCTAAATAGGTGAAATAAATAGTAAATAAATTTGAATAGGCAAGGCTGCTCTGGAACAGAGATAAATGGCATGGGGGTGCTGCTTCACCAATACTAAAGGGATTAGTGGTCGAAGCTCAATGATAACTGATCCCCAGCACACCCTGGTTGGCAGGTTCTGCTGTGGTCTTTCTGAAGTGGCATAATAGATATCAAGCAATCATCATATTTATCTCATTCAGTATCTGTCAAGTTCCCTCTAATGTCATAAATACTAGAGTCAGAGGAGGTAAAAAACCAACTCTATTCTATACTGATTCCATCATGAAAATGACAGATTCTTCAGGTGTACAGATCTCTGTTCTCTAATTATTATTATTTTTATTGAAAAAGTAAGCTAAAAACTCAGGATGTGAGGTTAATTTATTTACCTTAACTAAACTTACTCCAGAAAGTATTTTTTAAATGACTTACAACGTTACCTAAAATATGTTATAATTTATACAATTTGAAATTTCCATGAGTCAAAAACCAACAGAAGCATAATTGTTCTGTTATTAAGGTCTAACAGGGATTTCCCAGGTGTATCTTCATAAAGATGATACTTGGTGATATACTGAATAATACCCTCTACTAGTCCTAATATAAAGGAATTGCCTCTCCTAGAGATGTTTCTAATAATGATAATGTCTGATGGAATCATCCCAAGAAGGAATTTAGTAAAGATGATCATCTGTGTGGAGTGGGTAGAGTGAGGAGAGTGACAATGTTATTGTTGATGTAGTCACATTTAATTCTCTACTTATTTGGCTTGAACTGTGGATATATTTTAGAATATAAAATGAATAAATTACATACCAGTCTAGTAATATAGTTACCTAAATGGAGCTCTTAAAAATATTGAATGAATGCCCACAAGTTGGCCAACTAGTAAGGAAAGGACCATTTTAAATGCAAATTAAGAAGATCGTGACTCAGTAATCTCCTGTTTGGAAGTTTAAGAGCTAATAAGGGCATATCCAAAGTTAAAATTAGACTGGAAAAAGGACCTAGGATTCTCTTCTCACAACTGGTTTAAATTTTCTCTAGAGAGGAGGTATGAGTAAGAAAGAATCCAGTCATATTTCTAGCATTTAGCAATGAGTACCTAAAGTATTCATCTTGGACTCAGATTTGTTCTCTCTACTGCAGCTACACTGGCCTTTTTAATCCTGACTCACTCTGTTCCTTCCCCCTACTTGGCATGGACTCATTCTTTAGATCTCAGTTCAAGCGTCAGTTTCTCAGAAAACCCTTTTATTACTCAGGGAAATCCTTTATTATAGGCTCTCAAAACATCATGTTTCTCACTTTTATAGCACTTGCCATGGTTTCATTTATTTTTTTTTTTAGTAGAGAATAATACAGTGAATCACCAGATACCCAATATCCAGGCTTAAAAATTAATAACATTATACCCTTCATTTCTCATGTATTACTCACCCTACTTTATTTGAAATATTTCAGGAAAAATATTTCAAATATCATATAATTCTCAGACTAAACTTTGTAAGACACATAATCACAGTATTAGGATCACAATCAGAAAATTAGTAATTCCTTAATATTATCCAATACTCAGACCATGCTCCATTTTCTTTCATTGCTCAGAAACTTTCTATTATATTTTATTTGCTCCAATCGAATACAAAAAAGATCCCCATACTGTATTTTGTTCACAGGTCTACTGATTATCTTGTGACTTTATTTCTTCTATATGATTTATTTGTTGATGATAATGGATCACTTATAACTGTAGAATTTTCCACATTCTTGATTTGGCAAATTGTGTCCTTTTAGTGTAATTTAATGTGTTCTTCTTTTTCTTATAGCCTCTAGAAAAAGACAGATCTAGAGGCTTACTAGACTTAGCTCAGATTATGGCAAGAATATATTGTATGTGGTGTTTTATGTCTCCTGTTTCATAACATCAGGAAACACATAATGTCTGGTAGTCGGAGAGGTACAATTTTGTGTTTATGATAATTTTATGCTCTATCTCTACATTAGGCCATTAGCTTCATGAAGATAGATACTATATTTGTATTTATTAACATTTTAAAATCTCCAATGCTTAGTATAATGCCTAGCATAGAGTAAATTGTCAATAACATCTTATTTAATTAGGTAGATGAGCCATAAGGATGCCATTTTAGATGGGCCAATATTTTTGAAAATACTTATATTCCTACAATTGTATATATCTGATTCTCTTCTCAGGGTTTGGACAGCGACTGGCAATTTTTAAGAAAGTTTCATCTGCCACCTGTGTATTTGATGGAATAAAATAGTGAAAAATGAAATAAAGTGTTGAGAAATCAGATACCAATAATTACAAGTCAAACTTTGCAACTGGAACTCCTCAATAAAGACAAAATTTGAGGATTCATGAAGATGCTTATCATATGTGTGGAACATAGTCAACACTCAATAAATATTATATACTATTTTTACTATTATCATTATTATTATTTTAATTACCCCTAAAAGGGGGATTTAGTCAAAGACCTAAGAGTTTTATGTTGATGGAGTATTTTCCATTATGTACTGCTGTGCCTTCTTGTGTTTCCTATAATTAGCCATTTACATTTTTTTCAGTTGCTCAGTATACTCTAAGCACTGCCACATGCTTTACAAGAATTTATTTCATTTGGGGCACCTGGGTGGCTCAGTCGTTAAGCGTCTGCCTTCGGTTCAGGTCATGATCCCAGGGTCCTGGGATCAAGCCCCGCATTGGACTCCCTGCTCAGTGGGGAGCCTGCTTCTCCCTCTCCCACTCTCCCTGCTTGTGTTCCCTCTCTCACTGTGTTTCTCTCTCTGTCAAATAAATAAATAAATAATCTTAAAAAAAAATAATTTATTTCATTTGAATCTCACATCAACCTATGAGACAGATTCTACAATTATATACATCTTGCGGATAAAGAAGACGAAGTTCAGAAAGGTTAACAGACTTGGCAAATATCATACACCTATCAAGTGGCTAAAATAGACTGAAATCTATATTTATCTGACTGCAAAACTGTGCTTTTAGCCAATATGATCTACTGCTTTGCTACAATGTGAGAATATGAAGCATCTAAGTAATCTCTCAGTAATTCCAACATCAGAATTAGAATCTGATTAGTCTTAAATCAGATAAGTCACCTAAAGGGTCCTCAGTATGTGCCATTATAAATTCTTCTCTTTCCCGTATTTTCCTAAGTATAAATAAAAAAGGGAAAAAAAGTAAATCTTGTGAAATGACCTTCACTCTTACTTCCCAAAAAAAGTTTTTCATGACAAAATGTTCTAGTACTCTTCTAGGAAAAGAAATCCTTTACAATTGAAAGATTTTAATTAAAACCAGAAAGTCTTCATGTGATCCAAAGCAGCCAAATGAATGGAGATATTAATAAATTGGGAAATAATTCAAGTTCTTCCTAAGCAGAGTTAATAGGGCATCTCATCTTGGGATAAGAGAAGTATTGTGCTCTTGGATACATTTGTGTGTAGCCCTTGACATTTAAAATACCCCTTCAAAATAAATTACACATTCAACATATCATTCAGACCATAATCATTCCATCAGAAGGACCCCACACTCATTTCTAGAGACAGAAATCTTTTGTAATTTTTTCTGTGACTTCCTCATGGGTGGTATAATGGCTATACTCAATAGCCTTTTTTATACATGTTTTCTTCATACTGTCTATAATTGCTTCTTGTTTCAATGGTATGCATGTTATGAACCATGTAGACACAGCATCTATCAACAGATACTAGATGATTGGTGTAATCCTACATCATGTTATTCAGTTCCCACGTTTTTAGTAGAATTACTTTTCTAGAGCTTCTTCATTGATGATGACTTAATAAAGAGTTTTATATGTAGGGAAGTTAACATTTTCTCCCTTTTGACCCAGAAGTTACCTTTGATATTAATGAACGTCTTAGCCAGCCTTACTACGCATTCCACTTAGTGCCTGAGTGTATCTTGGCTCTTTACCTTCCCCATCTCTTTTTATCCTTTTCCATATGACAGGGTCTCAGTATAGCTTCTTTCTATGCTTTGCCTGCTCCCTTAGTCTGTCATTTTTCTATCGAGTTTGCTTCTTTTTTCCAGTGTAAACAATCTTTATGAGCAGGTGTTGAGAATGCAAAATAGTAACAAATCTAGAGTGGAATGGAAAAGGAGGCAGGGCATGGCTCCCTCTCCCAAGTGAAGTCCTGTAACTAGGCCACTCCAGTCAAGGAACACTCAACTTGACTGTGGCCACTTTGGGCCCAGCACCCACCAAAGACCAAGCTCCTAGGCAAGAGGGTTCTTTACCACACAGGGGAAGGGAGCAACACCTGGAACAGGCAGGGGCTGTAACCTACCCTAGGCCACTTGGCTCCTGCCCACCATACACCTCTACAGCTCCAGGTAGGGGTATTAGGAGACTGGGCTAAACCTATTCCTCCCCCAGCTGAGAAGGAAGTATGAGATTGCCAGGTCCTACTGAATATAAGAAAGCTACTTCTGGTTGCTTTCCTGGGTCCTCTTCCTTAATACACTTATGGCACAATTTTGATTTTTTAAAAATAATTTCTACAACTTCTTTAATGTTACTTCTATCAATACTTTTAGATTCATAGATTGAATCTTTTGCTATGAGGGTAAAAACCTGAAAATAAACTCAAAAAACAACACTAAAATAATTGAAAATTAGAGTAAAACTTTACTAAGTTTTACTAATCATGGATTTAATTATTCCATGGATAAATAATTCCTTATATAAAGATGCATAGTGCATTTCTTCTTGAGAGAGCTAGAAAGACAGTAAGTGCATTTGTTTGCTCTTTTTACAACTTCAGTATTATACTTTAAATCCATGCTTTCAGTACTTCACGATTTCTAAATTATGGAAGGCATTATCACTTTTGAGTTGAATACTGAAATTTTTCAGTTAATTCTGATGTACTATCTGAAGCAAGTTTGGGAATTAATAAACTAAACCTGCATTAAAAGAAGTCAAGTTTGGGAAAACTAATATATCCATCATTTATCATCAGTAGTAATACACACTTTGGAACAAAAAATTGTCTGTCTTAAAGAAATATTTAAAGATGTTGATCACTCTTAACACAGTGCACTGAGGAAATAATGTTGAGTAGCAAAAGTGAGCCCACTTATCAAGATCCCCGTTGATCTTCTTACCGTGTACAACACAGATACTGAGCACCAAGTAGAAAGCAATATACTCCGAAGAGAGAAAATAACTCAAATGCTGTGATTCTGTGAAGTACTAAGAAAAATTTATACCTCAGCTGCTTCGTCTCCTTCTTGAAGTGCTTTTAAAGTCTGCTGAAATTTTAGCTCAATCTTCTTAGCTTTTTCGGCAGCTTTCTGCTTTTCTTCTTCATAGGACATAGCAAGTGTGCCCAAGAACAAACTTGCTATGTAAAAAGCAAACCAAAAGCTTATCACAACAAAAAATATCATGTAGACCTTCCCAGAAGCATAAAGGATCTAAGGAGAGTTGGAAAACAAGACAAAAGAGGAAAACATTATTTTTCTTCCTGTAATCTCCTATTTTAAAATGAAAAAAATGAACTTTTATTATTAAAATAATTTAGTTGTAAGTGGAATGTAATCACAGGACAGTTTTACTGGCTCTACCTGGAGAAATAAGAGAAAAGCTCTTCAATTTTAGATATATATGTAAGGTACAAAATGCATGATACAAAACCAAAGAAAGAATTCAGTTAGGCATCTGGTTTTTAGGTCTTCACTAACAGAGAAAACATATTGAAAGGAAAACATTGTCATTTCTCAATTAAGAAAGCTGGACAGTCTAAAGTAAAGACTATTTCCTTTAGGGGTGCCTGGGTGGCTCAGTCGTTAAGCGTCTGCCTTCGGCTCAGGTCATGGTCCCAGGATCCTGGGATTGAGTTCAGCATCGGGCTCCCTGCTCAGCGGGGAGCCTGCTTCTCCTTCCCCCACTCCCCCTGCTTGTGTTCCCTCTTGCTGTGTCTCTCTCTGTCAAATAAATAAAATCTTAAAAAATAAAAATAAAAAAGAGTATTTCCTTTACAGTAAAATCTTTAAATATATGAAGCTTAGCAAAAGTCAGAGAACGAATATTTAGAGATTAGTTTCTTCTTATCATTACTTTATGAAAACATCATAACAAGGTACAAAATTAGATCTATTCAAAGAGGTGGGAAACAGGAAAATTTTTCTGTCAGAATACCTGCTTTGGTGAAGGATATTTAGACAAATCACATGGGAAAGTCATATAATTCACTTATTGCAGTCATTTATGGATAGAAAAAAAACACGATTTTAGATTTCAAAACTGAGCACTGACTAGCTTTTATTTCATAATAATTACCTAAGATGGATGAGAGAATTTAAAAATTTTAAAAATTCTAAGTAATTTATACAATCCACTATATAAGTAATATTGGCCACTGATTTATCATTATTAATTAAAAGTATATAAACAAAATCTAAAAAGTACAGATGAGACTAGTGTTAATTTTTAAGTATCCACTTGAATCAATAGATAAGTATTATTTACAGAAAATATTATATTGATACAACAAAGTTAAAAATGTTTACAGATTAGTAAGTTCTAACATTCAATAAAAATAATTTCTTATTAATATATGTATATTTATCTGGAAAAGTATTTTTAATAAACCTCATTTCCCCAAAGAGTCACCTATTTAGGATCTGGTTAAATATTTTTCCCACTAAACTAGCTATCATCTACAGTAGTACATTCAAGAGTTAGTAATAGATATTATGGGATATACTGCCCGCCAGGCACATTAATAAATACTTTGCTTATTATTTCATTAATTCTGGCAGAACATTTATGTGGTATTTACTATTATTTCTTATATGCAGAAGAAAGATGAAAATTAGGCAAAATGACATGTCGAAGATCTCACAACTATGGAGAAAGGCCTGAATCCAAAACTTTTGCTTTTCCTACTATATGAAGCTGGTGGAGGATAAAAGAATACACTTTTATGATGATGGAAAAGTATACACATTCTGGTTCTAGTATATTTTAGTTTAAAATTGGGGTAATTATGGCATCAAAGCCTAGGTTTGTTATGAAAATCAAGTGAAGCAGTGCATGTGAAGATGCACTTAGTCTATGGCAAATGCAGTAAAGATTAACCATTATTAAACATAACATTGTGTTTATGTCCATGAGGACTGGCACTTTGTTTTGTTCATTTCTGTACCCATGGTGTATCAAAGAGTATTTGGATCAAATAAATATTTGATGAATGAGTAGAGAATTGTATTCTCTAAAACATAAGCTACATTCTTTGGGAATAATTGCTGAATTTCCCTAGCCATAGTCAGTTCAGTGTGGGGCAATGCTGAGAGCACAAATCCAATCCAAATCAAAGCAAACCTTCTCTACACTGGTCAATAACAAGAGTACAATACTGATGAAAGTCCTATGTGGATTCCACCAGGGTACTCCCATACTGATTTTTCATTTCACTACTAGTGGGAAAAGATTTCCTTTAGACCAATTCTAACAAGAAAATTAGCTAACATACTTCATTCGAGCGCTGTAACCAAAAAACCAAACATTACATAAAGTGATACAATTTATAAATATTCACTTTTATTTTGTTTATTAAAATTTCATTAAGAATTTCTATGTGTTTGATGCTGAGAACTCAAAAATTAAAATGAGATAAAAAACTTCTTCTCAGGTAGCATATCTCCAGTGGGAGAAACTATTGAACAAGAAATTAAAATAACCACACTTAGGGACGCCTGGGTGGCTCAGTCAGTTAGGCATCTGACTCTTGATTTCAGCTCAGATCATGACCTCAGGCTTGTGGGTTCAAGCCTTGTGTGAGCTTCCATGCTGGGCATGGAGCCTCCTTAGGATTCTCTTTCTCACTGTCCTTCCCCTTCTCCTGTGTGCGTGCGTGAGTGCATGCTCTCACTTTCTCTCTCTCTCTCTCTTTCAAAAATAAACCAATAAAATAAAATAACTACAATTAGAGGCAATTATACAGTGCCATGGTATTCTGGTGTAGGACTTGCCTAGCCATGAAAGGAGCGTTTGGGGAAAAGCTCAAGATTTCTTCTGGGTTTGAGGTATGAATTTGAGGTATGAGACTGAAGATAGAAACTTGAATTTAGGCTGAGGGGACAACATACATTGAAACAAAAAATTATGGGAAAAAGCTCACTTAGGAAACAGCAAGGTTTTTCTATACTTAAATAAAGCAGAGAGTGAGTATATAGTGGAATATCATTAGAAAATACATCTGGAGAACTATGCAGAGACTAGATCTTAAAGGGCACTATAGACCATGCATTTGGACTTTGAACTTCATCCCATAGGAATGCAGAAACCTCTGAAGGATTTTTAGAAGTAGGATAACATGATAAGATTATTTTAGAAATAAGTCCCTAGTGTTGTGGAGGAGGCATTGATACTTGTCAAAGTTTGCAAAATAACCATATAAATAAATACTTGCCTTATAAAATTAGAAAAATATAGTTTGCATTTTAAAAAGTCATTTTAATATTTTCATGTATTTCTTTTATTAGAAATATAATTATACTGCATGTCTGTGTAGTTTACTTGATTTTCATTTAATAACATGCCATGAACCTTTGTGCTAAAAGTCCTATCATTATTAATGGCCTATACAAGTCATTACACACACACACACACACACACACCATGATTTATCTATCCAGTCATAAAAAGTATAGAGTGTTCTCCTTCAACTGTACATACTTTGGAAACTTAAGGTAATTTATTTTACCTAATATACTTTGATATTAACTATGCTGCTAAACTAACATTGCATATTCCACCATGATGAAACTTCTCTCAGAAAAACCAAATCACCATTCTAATGTGTATTATATCTTTCTGAGAAACTATGGCACATAAATCATCAGTTATGAAGAGAGACTCTCAGAATTTGATTTCAAATCTCATAACAGCAAACTTTCTGTTATAATCAAAGCGTGATTAAATATTACAGGGGAATGAGGAGAAATAGAAGAGTTGAAGTGAAATATACATTGTAGGCATTAAATAAACAATTTCTTAATACATGGTAATCTCACAGGTTCAAATTTTTTGACTGAAGAATTAGTACTTGCCAATGCTCTTTCCTTAGTTAATATCAAATGTGTGATAGCATAGAGCAGGGCAGTGATGTCTAGAAGATACATGTGTTATAACTTGGGAGAGGTTACCCAACCTCTCTGATCTTAGTGTCTTCACATAAAAAGCATATATAGTTTGGTCTTGCAGGATTGTTTCAAAGATTAAATGAGATACACATTAGGGCACAGACTTGGGCACAGTGTTAGCATACAGTTTGACATTCAGTAATTCTGATTCTCTTTTCTTCTGTCCTCAAATTCTTCTCCCCATAGAAATTTAATAAACCATGTTACATTCGACCATTATTTTAGAAGGGAGGAGCGTGGCACCATTTTTATGTGCACTGCAGATTCTCTCTGTTCTTACCTGATGATAAAGTGCTTCAGGGTAATCCTGTGTCATTAACCGAAACAGGGCAAGTAAGGCCCAGCCAAAAGTGTCAAAATTTGTGAAGCCATAATCAGGATTTGTGCCAGCTTTCACACACACATATCCTTCAGGACACTGACTAAAGAAAACAAAGGAAAGAAAACCTGCTTACTCTTAAGTAACTTTCAGATTATGGCCAAATCATAAATATAGAATACCCGCCCTTTTGAATAATAAAGAGCTCTTTCTTCCACAGGAATTAGTCTAAACAAAGCCTAGTGAAAAAGCAGCCAATGAGGTAGATTTTAAGTTAATATAAGTGAACAGTGGTAATTAATCTAGAAGGAAAAAGGGCCTCACAAATGGTTTTTTGCCAAGCCTTGTTAAAGATTTCCTTGCTACACAGTATCCAAGTGAAAGCATACGTGATGGGAAATAACAGTCATAAAATGAAGCTGCAGTCGTAGAGGGTTTAATTTTCAAATGCTCGCACCTCAAGCCCTTGGATCCCATTATTTAAGGGTGAGAAAACACTTATCACATTGATAATTTATAAGCAGCACTTGCACTTTGGTAGAAAGATCAGATTAAAGATTTATCTCATTTCCTTTCATGGACTCTTCATACTTTTATCTTCTGGGGGCTTGAGTATTGTGATTGGTTATTACAGTGGTGGCCAAATAAATCATGCTTCCCTCTATCCACACTCTTGTGTAGTTTCTGCCAATGTTATTCTGGCCATGTGACTTGTTTTGGACTTTTGTTAATAGTTAACAAACGTGATGCAAAGAGAGGTTTCACATGTACTTGTGCATCGAGGCTTGTGAAATTGCTGACCCACAGAATCTGAACAAATACATTTTCTTCTTGTCTTAAGGCATTAACTTTTGGGATTGTTTACCATGCAGCAAGGTATGATGCCTACAGGTGAAACATTGCATGACTTTCTCTTTTGATCTTTGAAATACATCCCTGTGATTCTGATTATCCACGATCAGATAATTTCAACAAGCATCTCAGGTCATATTTGAGTTTGGGATGTCCATGAAAAGGGTTAGCTGGAGCGTGATGTGGCAGACACAGTGAGATGGGTTCACAATAACGACTTGAGAACAGAATGAAAGCCCACTGCTGGGCAGCGTTGAACAAGAGACAAAATGTCTAAATCAAATGAATATATAAACTACATTAACTCATGCTCCTCTACCCCCATATGACTTTTGTTAATCTGGGCCCCAGAGCCTAAGAAGGAGCGGAGTCTATAGTGGGCATCAAATCATTTCCATCTGAGGAAAGTCACATAAAGCATTACAGGAATGCTAGTACTGCTGAGAAGCACTGTATTTCTACTTTCTTTTCTCTTCATTTGAAATTATAGGACAGGAAGACTTGAGAGTTTTGTCATACCACTGAAGAATTATTTATAAGTACAATTTTTAAGAGCAATAAAAGTTTTATTAATGTAAATTATAGTCATAAAAGATATACAAGCTATAAAAATAGGTGAAATAACAGCATATCTTTCCTATTTCTTCTCTTCAAAGGCTTCTGGCCCAAGAAAAGTTTATATTATCTTTCTTGATAATTCCCACTAGCTCTGGGGTGCACAGAAAACAAAAAATCAGACCTTTATTAAGTCCCAGCCTTGCCATTTGCTAACTTCATGACCTTGAATAAGTCATGTAAGTAGTCAGTTTATTGCTTTTTCCTATAAAATCAGGGTAATAGTATTCCATGTTGTATGCTTCTCAGCATGGTTTTAATGATAAAATGAGATAATGTAATCAAATGAGAAACATCAGCCAAAGCAATAATCTTTCAATAAATACTATGGATCCATGATACTAGCTTGATATAAGAACATTAACACCACTTACCCAGCATCTGTTCTGTTACCACAAAGAAGAGCATATCTTTCTCCTTCTAAATAATAAAAGTTTTCTGTTTCTGAAAAATAGGAAAGAAATTATATTCTATTATCTAATTTTGAGTGAAGAGCATATCTGATATCCATTTAGATCTGCATAGAAAATGAACATCTCTCTCGATAGTGAAAAGGAAGGAACATACAGCTCACCCCCCCTTTTTTTTTTTTTATCTACAAGATTATCCCAGCATGTGATGCACAGGCCAAAAGATGTCTGGCAATCCACCTACTTCACTGCCCCAAAAATGACAAACCCCAGCATAAAAAGAGGAGAATCACTTTCAAAATTAGAGTTCTGGGAAATGAATACTAACCAGCCAGGTATGACCAGAACCCTGAAGGAAAAATTCCCAAGACTAAAGTGTTTGAAAGCTGAGGACCTTTTCTCTTTATTTTCTTTTTAAGATTATTTATTTATTTATTTGACAGAGAGATAAAGAGAGAGCACAAGTAGTCACAGAGGCAGGCAGAGGGAGAGGGAGAAGCAGGCTCACAGAGCAGGGAGCCCGATGTGGGGCTCGATCCCAGGACCCTGGGATCATGACCTGAGCCGAAGGTAGACGATTAACCGACTGAGCCACCCAGGCGCCCTGAGGACCTTTTCTTCCAAGGGTTTATTCCTAATGATCTTCCTTAACAGAAGACCATATTTCTGTCTCTAGGTTTAAATGCCATCCTCCTCCTATTTTCGAAGCTTATTTTTCTACATTGAGCATCCAGTGCCAGTTACTCACCCTGATGTCACCTAATTCCCACCACAATCCCAACTAATCTGAATCATAGCCCATAGAATTTATTGGGGTATCCTTATCTGCTGTCATTCAAAATGTAACTTGTGTATTTACAGATATGAGCTACCAGGGTTGGGAACATGCATGCTTAGGAGCATTGATTTTAGGTTATGAATGCAAATCACAGAGATCCAACACATGAGATCAGTCCTGAATGTATGTGTGTATGTATAAAATTGTATACATATACATATGTACATACACACACACAAAACTGAATTACTCTAGTCTCAAATAATGTCACTTTAACTTGTTACCAAAAATAATTTTAGAAGAAGTTTTAAATCAGAGTTAGGAACAATTGATCAGAACTTTTAAGTGGCAGTCAAAAACCAAATGAAATTGGACCTTACTAGAAGAGGGCACTCCCAAATACTCTTCTAAATTTACGGACTTTGACATGGCAATTAGGTTAAATAATATTTTACAAATATAATATTTTCAGCAGGTCCTAACACGTTTTAAGAGGAAATGGAATGACTAGAATTGGACAAATTTTATTTTTTTATTTTTTTATTTTTTTTTCAAAGATTTTATTTATTTATTCATGAGCTACAGAGGGGGAGAGAGAGAGAGAGAGAGAGAGAAAAGCAGGCTCCCAAGAGCCCGATGCGGGACTCGATCCCAGGACCCTGGGATCATGACCTGAGCCGAAGGCAGACGCTTAACCATCTGAGCCACCCAGGCGCCCTGGACAAATTTTAAAGTGGTAATCTTTAAAAAGTGATTTCTTTATAATATAAATTATGCTTTAACTAAGATGAAAAGAACCTGGACTTTGTTTAGCAATACAATGAAGTAGTAAAAATTGTTTATTTTTTATATAATTTGTATATTATATGTATATGTATATGTATACGTACAGCATTTACAAGAAGTTCATTCTGAAGTTGAGTGTTCAACACTTCTGCGAAGGCTGCTTGGTCGCTAAGAAAAATTTTAACTTTTTTGACATAGATGGCAAGTGAGTCTTACCTCGGATATAATATGGATTTTCAGTTCTGTTGTGCAAGTTTGCAGTTTCATTTTCCTGTGGCCATCGCAAACACTTATGCTTCAGGTTGCCCATGAAGAGCCCCATCCCAATTAGAGAAAATACACTCAGAAAAAACAGAGTTAGGGAAATGACACCAGTAAGTTTCTTCAAGCAGTGGATGAGGATCCCTACAAAAGACTTCACACCTAAAAAGAGAAAGTTTGTTTTTGATAAAGTAAAATATCGTAGTAAAGCAGCTGTTAGCACAATTCCTCCATGGAAATGCATACTCCATTGAGATCAACAGCTTTGTGTTTCATAATCTAAATCATCCATTATCTAGATCTAATAAGTAAAATGAGTAAAAAATTAAATAAATAAAAATCTGAACTTTAAGGTTTCTATATTATTGCTAGCTTATTACATCTGTGAAAATAATTCAGGCACAAGTTTTAAAATTAGTTATTTGTTTTTCTTTACTATAAAGAACAAGACTTTTTTTTTGGTTACTGCTTTTCATACCAACCACCACTGTTTATAAACATAAGTGTAGAGTTATAAATCAAAATAGGTTGCAAATGTTGTTGAAACAAGAAATGGTTTGAAATAACAGTATTCTATATTATTCTTTCCTTAACTTTTTAAGAATTCAACTTTTGGAGCTAATTAAATAAAACATGAACAAATTTGAATTAAGAATGAGAAAAACACACCATTGTGATATCTGTAGACTGTATTCACATTACAACACTTACTAATTGAGAAATTCAGCCTTAAAACTGGCTTTATTTAAGGAACTCATTTTTCTATTGATTAAATAAAACCTGTTCAAGAAACCCTTATGTACTGCTGGTGGGAATGTAAATTGGTGCAGCCATTGTAGAAAACAGGACAGAGGTTCCTCAAAAAATTAAAAATAGAACTACTATAAAATCCAGTTATTACACTGCTGGGTATTTATCCAAAGAAAACACGAATCCAGAAATATATATGCACCCCTGTGTTAGTTGCAGCATGATTTACAACAGCCAAGATATGGAAGCAACTTATGTGTCCACTCATAGATGAATGGATAAAGAGATGTCATTTACATATATAATGGGATATAATTCAGCCATAAAAAAGAATAAGATTTTGCCATTGGTGACAATGTGGATGGATCTAGAGTATATTGTGCTAAGTGGAATAAGTCAGACAGAAAGAAAATGCCATATAATTTCACTTTATATGTGGAATCTAAAAAAATAAACCAAATGAACAAATAAGAGCCTAAACGGAGTCATATATACAAAGAACAGACGAGTGGTTGCCAGAGGGGAGGCGGTGGGGGACATGGACAAAATGGGTGAAGGGGAGTGGGAGGTTCAGACTTGCAGTTATGGAGTGACTAAGTCACAGGGTGAAAGGCACAGCATGGGGGATGCAGTCAGTGGTGTTGTAAGAGCCTTTTATGGCGAGAGTGGTAGCTACACTTGAGGTGAGCGTGGCATAACAGACTGGTAGAATTACCACACTGTACACCTAAACTTAATGTAACATTGTGTGTCAACTGCACTTCAATTTTTTTCAAAAGCTCAATTCTGTAAACAAAGAAACAAAAGAAACAAAAAACAAAAATAATGTAATTGTACTTCATAGATAAAACCAGTATTAACCTTCCTTCCTCCCTCCCTCCCTCCGTTCCTTACTTTCTCCCTTCCTTTCTTCTCTTGTTTCCGTTGCTCTCTTATTATTTGTTGGTCTGTTTATATTTAGGATCCTAATAACTGTTCAGCTTAACAATGGATAAGAATGTACTAGCTCTGTGATATTATCAATATTACTATGCTTCTGTTTTATCTTTAAAATGTGGCTAATAATACCTGTTTCATATATTATTGTGAGAACTGGAAGTCTATTTTTTTTTTTGAGTTTTTAACTTTGTAGGGCCCAAACTCACAACCATGAGATCAAGACCTGTGGTGAGATCAAGAGTCAGATGTTTAATTGACTGAGCCACCCAGGTGCCCTGAAAATCTATTTTTTAGTGACCTCTTCAGATGTTTGGATTTCTTGAGTGTATTAGGATAAGGTAGAAATAAAGTTATTCCTGTGGTTAAAGAAATGTGATATCTAGATTAAACATACAATTTTAATTGCTACCATATGGAAATACTTGTTTATAGCTTATTTTTGCCACTTGGAGTTGTACTATTAATTTTATTTTGCTATATGCAAGCCTTTTTTTTAAAGTGTTATATTAGAAATAGAATTTCTGATCATAATATATGTAAGTATTAATACATTTATGTTCAATTTGTTTTTAAGAGATGTTGAACCAATGTATAAACCAAATATATAAATACATAGTCAAGCCTTCACTAAAACTGGGGTGTTTAAAAAAATCTTTGCCAATTTATTAAAAGAAAAATGGGATCACTTTGCTTTAATGTAATTTCTGTGATTACTATAATGAACTTTCCAAAATATGTATTTTTTAAATTTTTTTTATTATGTTATGTTAATCACCATACATTACATCATTAGTTTTTGATGTAGTGTTCCATGATTCATTGTTTGCATATAACACCCAGTGCTCCATTCAGTACGTGCCCTCTTTAATACCCATCAAAATATGTATATTTTATATGTATTTTTCATTTGGCAACTGTCATGAGGTCTTTGTATATTTTCTTTTTTTAATTGAATTAACATACAGTGTTTATATTAGTTTATTATAATTATTCAATTTGTGTATTTTGCATTACATATTATTTTTCATGATTTACAGGAAAGGTAACATTCAAATCCTTATAATGGCTTGTCAGGAAACATAAATTCATGCAAAAGGGGAGCAGAGGTGACTTGGATGAATATGCCTGATTTATTTTCATTTTATTTTTAAAGATTTTATTTCTTTATTTGACAGAGAGAGAGACAGCGAGAGAGGGAACACAAGCATGGGGAGCTGGAGAGGGAGAAGCAGGTTCCCTGCTGAGCAGGGAGCCTGATGTGGGGCTTGATCCCAGGATGGTGGGACATGAACTGAGCTGAAGGCAGATGCTGCATTCATCCAAATTAATTTAGGTTTTAATGTTAAAAATCACTAGATTTTTATAATTTTGGCATCTATTTCAAAGTTTTCTGAAACAAATAAAATATGTTTCTATTTAGGCATGTCTGTTATTACTTCGGATTTATAATATTTGCATTCTGTTTTACATATCACTAACAACAGTTAATTTGAAATTCATTCTGTGTTGAAATGATTTCAGAGTTCACTGTGATTACTTCTGGTATTAAATCTTCCCATTGTTGAATATTTTGTTTTCATACCAGTTATTCAAGAAAGATATATAAAATTTCAGAACCCTTGCATGACTGAGAATATCTTCCTATAAGCTTCACATATGGATGATAGACAGGTATAGAATACTGGTGTCATAACCTTCCTGTTTACACTTCCTCCAAGCTCTGAAACTACACTGCCTATTCATGTTCAATATTATCAAGAGGTCTAAAAATAACTTTTCCATAGGCAATTTTTCATTGCTTTTTTGCTTATAGGATTTTTATAATACTTTTATTTTTTAGAAGTTTAAATTTAAAAAATGTTATAATGTCTAAGTATATCTTTTAGTTTTTTTGTCTACTATAAAAATGAACCTTTTCCATTTGTGAGAAAAATCTCAAGTTAAATTTTTTTTTAAATTTTTTAGTGTATTTTTGAATAATTTGTCTTTTACATTTATTCTGGTCTCATTTTTAGGGTCACCAACTATCCATAAGATGGAACTTAGTTTTCTCTTTTTCATTAACCCATCCATTTTTGGTTCTATTGTACTGATAAAGAATTTCCCTCATTTTTCTTTACACAGGTGATTTTGTTTTACCATACCATAATACTGTACAGATAATACCGTATTTTAATGCTTCTATTACCATCAAATAGTCATCAAGGGTATTCTAACTTTTTAAAAGATTTATGTATTTATTTTCGAGAGAAAAAGAGAGAGTAGGAGTGGGAGGGGCAGAGGGAGAGAGAGAATCTCAAATAGACTTCCCGCTGAGTACAGAAACCATGACCCACAGATCACGACCTGAGCCAAAGCCAAGAGTAGGACTCTTAACTGACTGTGCCACCTAGGCGCCCTGGGTATTATAATTTTTATCACTTTTTTGCCTGATAGGTGTTTTTGTCTGTTTTATTATATCATTATCATCTTTCGCTTGAGCCTAGGTTTTCCTCTGAAGGCACTACAAAAGGGGCTCCTGGGTGGCTCAATCAGTTAAGCATGGACTCTTGGTTTCTGCTCAGGTCATGATCTCATGGTCATGATCTCAGGGTCGTGGGATCAAGCCCCGTGTGGAGCTCGGTGCAGAGTCTGCATGAGATTCTTTTCCCCTCTGCTCCTCCCTGCCTGTGTTGTCTCTTAAATAAATAAATAAATAAATAAATAAATAAATAAATAAATAAAATCTTGAAGGCACTACAAAAAAGATGACTTCTTACACTTGCCCCTATTCCTTAGGGCATATTTTTTAAAGAAAGAAGAGGATTATTTTTATTTTCTTTAATAGTATGTTTCCCTTTTGGTACTGCGAAGTACTTTCATATGCTCTATATTGCTGGTATGTCCATTGATTATTTTCTCCCTTGAGAAAAGAGCAATTTCTATCAGGCTGTGTGTTTCCAAATCCACTAAGACATGTTCTTCTTGTATTAACTTGGATTCACCTGATTTGTTCTATAATCTTCACATCTGAGCCTAAGATGAAGACACAGGTGATACAATTTTATGTTCTAGTAATTTGTGGAGAGTAGTAAGGGAGGTAGAACTGTGGGAATTCCTGTCACCGCAACTCTTCTCACTGGCGCTTTATTCACTGGGTTTGGTGAAGCTGCCATACACAGACCATTGTTGTTAAACAGCTTTATTGAGCTATAATTCATAAATCATACAATTCACACATTTAATGTGTACAATTCAGTGTTTTAATATATCCACAGGGCTATGTACCATCCATCATCTAATCTTTTTACTGTTTTGCCTAGGCTAGACTCCAAGTACATAGTATGTATATATCTGGCCTTCCTCATGGTGTTGCAGTGGACAAAAATTGCCTGTAGATCTCATTTCTGGTATTATCACATTTACCTCTGGGTTTATTGGCCCACCTATTTCATGCTTCTGACTCAGCATCCAAAACACTGAGTGTAGTTCTTTCATATCGGATTGTTTTTAATCCATTCTTAACACAAATTAGAAGATGTTCGTGGGCTTCTCTAGGATACCTTCAGGAATGGGAACTGTAAATTAGTCCTCAGCATCTTCTAGCAGTGTGGTCACAACTCTACCTTATTTAGCAGAACCTCCTTTAACTCTGTGGCATGTGGAATGCACCCTATCCAAGCACTCAGAGCAAAATGGAATTTATCTTATTTTATATTACTTTGTTCATTTCAACTGGTTTTTAGATGCAGTGAAGAAAAGAAGGCATATTAGGTCTCTGTACAGATTGCTATCTCTCTCAGAAGTCTAAGAACAATTTTATAAGTTCATATTTAAGATGGAAGGATAAATAAGAAAAAATAGAATATAATATATTTTGATTAATCTCTATATTTTATCATTAAGTATTGAACCCATCTCAAATAAATAACAGTCAAATGTGATTATTATTATTTTTTTTTTGCTTTCCTGGAGTGACTGAAATAAACTTATAGATCAGATAATTCACTGACTTCAAAGATGAAACATTGTTCAATTTAGTATTTCTCCAAGCAGTTACAGGGGAGTTCAAAAGAATACAGGGTAGTACATAAATCAAAATGAAGACAAGAGCTAAATGCCATTTCTTACCTTGGTTTAGGGGAATAATTTTCAAAATTCTCAAATTTCTTGAAATTCTAAATATTGTAATGGAGTTGAGAGCTAAGTACCTTGTTATATGCCTGTGGAATTAAATTAAGAGTTATTTAGAAGTCATACTGAGCCTATGCTGCTTATCACTGACTTTTTATACTATTTAAACTTATTTTTAAAACCACATATCCAAACTTTTCCCTTGCTCTCATTGTTCCATTTTGCAAATACTTGCCTTATTGATTGGAAGACAAAGATTTTTACAGTGCAAGGTAGCCAGGTAAATATTAATCCACAAATCATGACAGTTTATAAAAGCTTGACACTGTGATTAGTGATAATTCCATACCAGGTACCCTATATTACGTTCATAAATATTTTGTTCTTTAATCACTAAAGAGGTAGTTAAAATAGGAAAAGTCTATAGTTTTTTAAGGAATGAGATTTAAGGACTTAAGCTTCTGATGATGATCATGATGAGGATGATCATGATGGTAATGACGACGGTGATGATAGCCAAAGGCAGTGTGTATAGTGGTTAAGGGCACAGCCTGTAGCCAGAGTGCTTATGTAGAAATCCAGGCTCCCAAGTTACTAGCAGTGTGACATGGAAAAATTACTGATTCCTTCTTGCCTCAGTTTCTTCATAATTAAAGTGGGGATAATAATTCCTAATTCTGAGGCTTTTTGTGGGGATTAAACAAGCTCATACATGTAAAGTGCATAGCTTAGCACCTGGCACACGGGGCTAAGTCGTAGCTGTGTTAGCTAAGTATTATCTACCAGCACTGGCAACAGCAAAATAATGGTAGTAATCAAAGTAGTAGTGATAATAATTTCAATGATATTAGCTACTATTTTTTATTGCTTACAACATGGCAGACACTGATTATGCACTTTATGAAGTCTATTTGTTGTTTTAAAAAATCAACCCCAAACTTAAAAATGAATATCATTTTAAATTATATTCAACAGGAGTTTGGTGCCAGTGATAATTTCCTTAGCCATAAAACAGAGCACACTAAATAGAATCATTGAAAAAATACTCATGTAAATCATGAGAATTTAATGTAACACTCTCGAAAATGTGTGTGGGTGTGTTTAAGATATTTTATTCTGATATCTAGTGTTTACTGGTCTTAAGCAATGTAGCTAAATAAAATGTAGGTTGGAGACGAAATCAAACATATTAGGATCTTCTTGTAAGTCTCCAAGAGATTTTTTATGCACTGAAAATAATCACTTACAATCCCAAAATTCAACCTCTGTTGTTTTGCTTTACATAGAAAACAGATGATATCCCATTCCTTTCATTTTTATTGCATATTCTGAAAGCTAGTTCAGTTGGAGCTGCCTGAGAGTCATTATGGCTATGATTTATGAAATATTTTTTGTTCACAGAATTTTTGCAAGTAGAAAACTTTGTAAATCTTGATGTTTCTTTATGAAAAGTATTTACTTAGCAAGGTATTAAGCTGTTTGTAATTTGAAGAAATACTCACTCAAACAAAGTTACACTGAAATCGAGCCAGTTCCATGGATCACCAAAGAAATAAAACGGTTCTACCCAGATGCCTCTTGCAATGAGTTTTATAAGTATTTCAAATGTGTAAATTCCAAGCAAAGTATTCCTGCAGAAAATTTTTCATATAAATGTTAAAAGTGAGAATAATGTATTGTCAGCTCCGAAATGATAGGTCTATGGTAACCGTTTGGCAACCAACCAACCAACCAACCAACCAACCAATCCACCAACCAACTAGACAACAAAAAGTCTATGCTCCTTGAACCATAGGCTAAGGCTTTTAGGGTGGGCTATGTCTTACAGCATTAACCATGAAATTTGACTATCAATTTTTTTCAACAAGCCCTAGCTAGAGTTATAATCTTTACATATATTTTGGTAAATAATGAAAATACAAAATACCAAATTTATTCCACATTGGAAATCACATACTAATTAACTGAATTACAAGAGTATGAAAGAACTAATTTTCTTATATGGATATATAAGAATTTTGTGGTGAATCAGTTTTATATTTACCTTTCAAAATTAACTAGTTTTAAGAATTGAATAAAAGCTTAAGAGGTAGCATCAAGAAAGGCTTCTTCTTGGGGCACCTGGGTGGCTCAGTCGGTTAAGGATCTGTCTTTGGCTCAGGTCAAGATCCTAGGGTCCTGGAATGGAGCCCCACATCGGGCTTCCTGCTCAGCAGGAGAGTCTACTTCTCGGCTTCTCCACTTCTCTGCCCCTAACCCCTGCTCATGCTCATCCTCTCTCTCAAATAAGTAAATAAAATAAAAAAAAAAAAGAAAGGCTTCTTCTCTAGAACTTTTAATGGGCCTTTCCATCATTGTGTTCTAATGCAAGCCAAACTATTCACATCACTCAAGAAAGAAAAGAGAAATAGAACAGAAAGGAAGCAATAGAAATAACTTTCTTAGAATGAAAAGGAATAAATGTTATTTGAGTTTAAAGCAAATCAGGTGTGGAATGGCAATAGTAAAGAAAATCTGAGGCACTGAAATAATATATTAATCATTACTAATTAACTTTACAATAAAACCTCATTTGTATGATAGATAGACATAAACATATAGCTAAGTGTTCAAACACTTATATCACGTTGACCTAACATGTTGGGAAATAGCAGCATTTAAAGTCCAGCTAAGAATAATGAAAGGGCAGAAAAACATTAAAATTTATTAACTGATATATGTGTGTATTTGGTTTTACTTGGAAAATTCATTAGTTGTGCTATATGTATAAAGATTATATTATGCACAATGAGTTTATATTACCATGAATATTATATATTAAAGATAAATAGTAAATTGTAAAACATTAAATATGTAGTATATAATGTACTATAATGCAGTATGTTAAATATAAGATATAATCATATATGAGATAATGTATAATAAAATTATTTGACTTACTGTAATATTGGGCCCCATTTTGGCATCTCAGTCACGGACATAAATATGCAGTCAATCAGGACACTAATTAAAATGAATAGTCGGAAAAAGGTAGGTTACAGTCAAGGAATAATGGATAAAAATAATATTGGAAATATGTGCTTCTATAACATGTTTATATGTATATACATGAGATAAAATAGCTTTTTAAATGTCAAAAAGAATACTATTCATATTTAAAATCAAGGAGGATTAAGATTTGTTAATATTTACTACTGTTGTGTGTACTTGAAAATAATTTTTAAATGTATTTTCAAATATGGAACACTTGGTGCAGTTATAATCCAGTTTCCAATATGACCTAAAATGAGATATCAATTCAAAAGAGAAAAAGACTGCAGCAATATTTGAATAGAATAGTTGCATTTGTTATTAGTACAGTCTAAAGCCAATAGAAAAGGATATGGATGTACCAAAATCTTAATAGCTGTTCTTCTAGTTGAATTGAAAGGAGAAAATGTACACCACGTAGCACTGAATCTGAAGATCGTTCTGCTTTTATTTAATACCATGAAAGTCTGTAAAATGAAAAAAGAACATCAAGTAAAATTACAAGTAGGAACTATAATCTCATCCATTATGCAACATATTGCCAATGATCATTTCAGTTGTGAATTCTAACAGTTACACTTTTCTTATATTTTGATATTGTTTTACAGACTAAGTCAAATGGAAAGATTTCTTCTTTTAAACATTTTCACTGATATTTAGGATTACCTACCACTTTTTTTTTTGTCAGTGTTCTAACAAAGCTATTTGCCACACTCCAGTCCTCAAGTCTTCCTGCAGAACTAATGTAATAGGAAGAAATCATTATCCTAAAGGCTCATGAAGATGCATTTAAAGAAACTCAAATTTAATGAATATAAAAAAAGGTTAATTTATTTCAAAGCAAATAAGGCATGCAATTACAATAGTAAAAATGACCCAATTCACTAAGATATTTTATTAATCACTAGTAAGTATCTGTGGTATAAAACCCCACTTGTATGTTATCATTGACATAAACATACCTAAAGCAGAAAGTTACATCATGTAAAACTAATATACTGGGATATAGAAACATTAAATCCAGAAATAATGAAAGGCCAGAAATATCCTAAAACTGAGTTATATATGGATATGTGTGCATATATATGTGTGTGTATCTATTATAGATACACGTGAAAGTGTCTACCTATGTGTGTATGTCTTTGTGTGTGTGTGCATATATATCACATATACACTTTTACTATATATACATATCCATTTGGAAAATTCATTTATGATGGAGTGAGTAAAAATACATTATACATAATGATATTATACCCATATAATATAGTATATAATATATAGTATACAATGTAATATGATACAATATAATATACCAAATGATATATATAAATATAATCTATTACATACTTAAGTATTATATTGTATGTTATATATAATTATATATTAGAGGTATCTATGGTAACTGTATACTGGCATTTATATTTGTGCCTATATATATAAACATATTGGTGAAGACATATATGCATTGATATTTTATGAATACATGTTCTAAATGGAAACCAACTGTGTTATAATTCTCCTCAATAAAACACTTTCCAATATACAATCTGTGGACATTTTGGCATGTATTGTAGTTATTTTCCCTCTTTCAGTTTCAAAAGCAAAGACAAAATAAAAGGGCCCCCCAAAATCTGATTATTTAAAATGTGCTTTCTGTTATTTTCCAGAACAAACTCAAAATTCATACAAGAGGTAATATATGTGTGGGGCACTGGGGTGGTGCAGTTGGTTAAGCATCTGACTCTTGATTTTGGCTCAGGTCCTGATCTCAGGGTTGTGAGATTGAGCCCAGGGTCAGGCTCTGCACTCAGCATGGAGTCTGCTTAAGACTCTCTCTGCTCCTCCCTCACACACTCTTGCACTCTCTCTCTCTCTCTGACATAAATAAATAAATAATAAAAAAAGAGGTAATATATGTGCAATCAACTAGCTTATGTTATTGTGAAGGAATGAGTAATTCCAGACATAACAATTTTCCAATTAATGTTTCAGTGCTGAAATTATTTAATTTTAGGATTATTTATTGGTATACCATCCTTAACAGAATAAACTGAATGTAATTCACATTTTTAATACTTTGTGTCATTATTAATAATAACACTTTTTATACAAACTATCCTTATAATTTTTGGCTTGTTTTATTTTTCAAAATCCTTAGTTTTATCTTCAATAACAAACTTAGATCTGCCTACCATATCTATACACACTAAAAAGAACTCAGAACTCTGCCAGAGTAGAGTTACTTCTAAGGTTATTGTGTTAAGTCAACTGTTAGGACTTAAGCATAGCAAAAGTGAAAGCAGAGATAATTGAGATGAAGTTACATTTTCACTAAAATGTTCTGAAGATTTTACAGATGTTTTATAGCTAATGTTATATAATGCCCATGGAAGCTATGAGAGATACTGGAGTCTTTGTTAATATATACATTTACAATGTCAATATTCTTCCACCATGCAAAATATTTGGAAGAGTTGTGTTTATGCAAAATCATCACTTTGCCTTCCATCCAGAGACTTTGGTTCAATTCCATTTTGCCCATTTGGTAATATCACTGAATGCTTCACAAGAATATCAAATTACATTTGTCCACAACAGAACTAATCCTCCTATCCCCCAAGCTTAATCTTTTTTAGAATTATTTCAGTTTTTTTTTAAGTAGCAAGTACCATTATTCCAGGCTGGAAATTTTGGCGTTATTAGTCTGTCTTCAAATCCTGTTGTTTCTTCTCAGGTTTGTTACATTTTTCCCTCCTCTGAAAACTTCCTCTAATCCAGGCCTCTTGACTTCAGGCTTGGATTACCCTATTTCCTATATCATCTTTCTGACCCTATTTCTTTTATGTAATATTAATTTAGAAGTCTTCAGATTAAACTTACTTAAACATTGCATTCATCACATCAGTTCTTAGGCCATCACATTAAATCCATGTTGACATCTTCATTTCCTCATTCCTTTATTTCCCACAACTTGCAATAGGGGTTGAGTTCTATCATCACCCTGTTTCTTCCCTATTCCAATTAATATCACGATCTCCCCTTTGCACCGTTAAAATGTGATGTGCTCTCCAAGCTGTAATTCAAATTCTTTTTCTTAAGGAAGACTCTTCCAGCTTTGTCAGCCCACACAGATCTTTGCCTTTATTAAGCATGATTATTCTTATTTTTATCATTTTTGTGCTTGTTTTTGGATTGTTCAAATATTTAGTTGGCTCCTCAAGTCATTCCAGGGATAAGACAGGATGTGAATATATGAATTAATAAAAATGGTTGGGACACCACCTCGGTGGCTCAGTTGGTTGAGCGACTGCCTTCGGCTCAGGTCATGATCCTGGAGTCCTAGGATCGAGTCCCACATCGGGCTGCCTGCTCGGCAGGGAGTCTGCTTCTCCCTCTGACCCTCCCCCCTCTCACGTTCACTCTCTCTCTCTCTCTCATTCTCTCTCAAATAAATAAATAAAAATCTTTATAAAAAAATAAAAAATAAAAATGGTAAATAAAATATAGATTGTTTTTATTTTCCCAACTACTGAACAAGCTCATTCAGTTGAACATTTAAAATTGTTGTACATATTATAAAAATTTTATATTACACTTATTTTAAAATCAATAACCTTAAGTAGCCAATCATCATGCTCCCATAAAACAAGTTATTTACATTAAGGCATAACAGTATAACCTATTAAAAGTAGAGTAACTTCAAACAAACTAACCTACCAGGCAAGCAATCAGTTTTGATAAAAATCCCAAGTATTTGAGAAATTTCTTATCCAGTTTTTTATAACTTAAAATAACTCTTTGACTTATTCTTCATTCTTTTTAAGTCCTATATAAATTACACTTTTTGCACATCTGAAAAAAAATAATGAAAATGTAGTCACAATAAGTTCAATTAATCCTTACATTTTTATTCTTATAGTATGGGTCCGCATCTTCCAAGGGCTCCAACAGCATTCCTCGAGGGAGATTCCCATAAACAAATGGAAGCTCTTTTCCAACTTCCAAGTCGGTGTTTGGCTTTAAATCTCTTTGTTTCTCACTGTGCTTTTTAGCAATGTGCTGTTTCATAAGTTCAAGAGACTCTCTGGTGAAGGGGACAAGGCCCTTTGGTTCTGGGGAAGCCATTTCCAATTTTGTACCTGCAAGAAATGTATTTTCTTCAGTTCTATATAAAATTTGGGTATATAAAGATAAACTTTAAATTGCAAATGGTTAGGATATGATTAAAAGAGAACAGCAAACTGAATACATGTATTCAAAGAAAATTCCTCAGTTTTGTAGATATACGAGTTGTTAAACTAGGTTTTGTTGTACTTGATATTATACTTGTTTGTAAGTTCATGAGTGACCGGTCGCACTTCATTTACTCATCCACTGAATTCTCTTTGTTTTATTGAAATCTTCTTTTCAGTTTCTCCCTCATAATAAAAGAGTTCTAAAGCTCTAGAGATTTTGGGGGACCAAACCTAATTATTTCTCTCTCAGCTATATTTAACCATTAACTAAACTTTTCTTCTTTAAACTCATTTTCATTGGCTTTAGGCCCATTCTTCTGTGTCTCCTCTTATAGCTCTGATCACTTCCTTCACTCAGTTCTTTCTCCCAAATTTTAATTTTGATATCCTTTAAAATTCTGCCTTTCTTTTCTGTTATATCCATGTTTTTGGTGAATACATAGGCAAACACTGAATTTCAATTCTGTACATGGATATTTACCAAGTCCATTTCCCAAAACACTCTCTTCCCCTCAATTATCCATGTGACCAATTACACCAATAATAGCAATTTAACAAGTAAAAACAAAATTCATTGTTTTCCTGAATGACTAGAATTGTTCTTTAACCTTTTAGCCATAGTAAAAACAAACACAAATACACAAACTTAATACCTTGAAAATTATTCATGACATTTTTGTTTGTCATCAATTCCTCTGTACAAAGTAATTTTCTTACAATTATTTCAATTATATATTTAAATATTATCCATTGTTTACATATCTATGTCAAGATAGACATCTTTATAATTCTATATCTGGATTGTGCTAGTAGTCTCTACAAGTTTCTCTCAGTTCTAAGTCTTTGCCTATTTCAAGTCATCCTAAAGGCCACTGAAGTTAGTTTTCATTAAATATAATTTCATGCATTAATTCCCCATTCATGAACTTTGTTTTATTCTCTCACATAAAAATATGTTCTTTTGCTGATTTTCTCCATCCTATTTCCTGTTGAACACACCTCACATATCATACTTTATTGAGGGAAGTCAAAATGCTTTGAATCAATACAATTTATAAATATAAGCTACAGATAACTGATGTTTGCTCTTACATATAAAATCTTCCTTTAAAATATTTAATAAGCCTTCAAAATTGTATTCCTTACATGGAATTCCTTAAATACATATTAAATAGTTTCTTAATGACTCATGGTTATAGACTAATATAAACAAAAAAAATCATGAACTTTGGAATTAAATAGACCTACATTCAAATCCTAAATTCTGTCATTAATGTACTTAGTGGTCTCAGTAAAATTACTTAATGTTCTTGAACCTGTCAGTCATAAAATTGGGATTCCTTCTCAGGTTAAAGAAAGATAAAATAGAATAATATGGGTGAAAATGCCTCGTACAGTGATTGGCACACAATAGGTGGGAAGTAAATATGAATTTTCAATTGTGGTAAGATTTTATATCTTAGAATAATGGGCCAAATCTAATAGAATAAGATATAGCAGGAATACATGTGAAGTTTTGAAATTTGAACCAAAACAACCTATCTGTACAAGTGCAATAGATAAGTTTTTGCGGAGAAAACTGCCAAGGGATTTTACTTAATAATAATTGCAATATAAATCAATACCGGTTTGTGTCTGTCAAAAAACCCTAATATAACTTTTGTCTGTTTTGAAGGAAGATGGAGGAGGCAGTCTTTATTGTGCTGCATTCCATAACCATACCCGAGAGGCCTGAATGTAAACTGAAGGGTCTTCAAATGGGTTCAGAATATTGATTAAACTCAAATCACACCATCTATAGACCAGTTAAAAGAATGAAGGCTATGTTTGTTGAAAGCAGAAAAGACTCAAGTGGAACATTATTGATTCCAAGTATCTCAATGATTCTCACATAGAAGAGAAATTAGATTCAAGTATTATTAAAAAAAAGAAAAGATGAACTAGGATCATTGAGCTGAAGCAGAATACATTTGGCTTAAAATAATAAAGTATTTTTTAAATAGCTGTCAAGACATAGAATAGGACGATTTGAACATTAATCCTTCCTGGTAACTAGCAATATGAAAGCATGCACTTCTTGACAGTTGGGTAGAATAATTTAAATGGGTCCAAATATTGATTGGTTGCAACCTTATAATTTTAAAACTTTCCGACCTTAAAATGTTTGGAATGAATTTTCAGAGTATCACATGACCTAAAAGTCTGGGCTAACTATTAGCTAAACTGAACCTATGCAGCACTGAATTAACAAAATCAAAAGCATCTTTTTTCTTTTCAGATTACAATAAAAGTACTTCTTATATCTTATATTTTTAGGATCCACTGTAACTGCTAACAAATATTATTAAGCTTGTATATGTAAAGAATATTGTCCCTAAAAGTAGATACAAAGGGAGGTTCAAACTTATTGCAAAGACACTGTTATTAATGAAAATATTTTCGAACACTTTCCATTGAAACCTCAAAATTAAATTTGCAAGCCAGCCTTTTTTTTAAGCTTTTTTATTAAAGTAATCTCTATGCCCAACATTGGGCTTGAACTCACAACCCCAAGATCAAGAATTGCACACTCCACTGACTGAGCCAGCCAGGTGCCCCTGCAAGCCAGTCTTCTTATTGCATTGTACAAATATAATCTTTTTTTTTCCAGTTATCACCTCATACATAGCAAAATAATCTTTGATTCCTTATTCTGTCATCTACTAGCTATGAGACCTTGATAACGTAGCCTGTCATACTTTCTTCATATGTAAACTTTGGGATCCCTTATGTATCTCACAAGGTCATAAATATTAAACCAGACCATATACAGAAAGCCTGGGCCACAGTACTGACTTTGCTAATGTTAATTCTCTCTCCCAACTCAGTCAGTTATCCCAGAAGCCATCTCTAGTAATGATTTTAAGGTTGAGTGAAACCTGGGGTTTCATTCTAGGTTGTTGACTAGGTGAATGAATGGACAGTGGGCATTCTCTTCTGTGGTATGACAAAGAAAGGCAAGCATTTATCAAATGGAACTGGCTTGCATCTGACTTTTAGATGGCTAAGTGCAGACTTTAAATTATTGATCATTACATCATAATTCAGTGAAAGCATTTCTGTGGGGAATTTATAAAATATGGTCAGGCACTATGCTTTCCAGTGAGTGATCTTAATATAATGCTAAAGCCTGAAAAATATAGAAAGATTAATAGTTAATCTGTCCATTAGAGTGTCTTTCTAAAAAACTGAATAGCTAAAGTAAGCTTTTGGCAAAAATTGTATCAAAGTCAACTCAGACTTGGCTTCTAACAAGTTCCAGTTGTACTGATATTTTATATTGTTGATTAAAAAGCAAGCCAATTCTCTTGGACATCAGTTGAAAGTAGCACATCCAGCATCAATATGGGGAAAAGAGATGCATTCTTTTGAAAAATATTCTCCTTAAAACAAATTTCAAACATATGAAGATAAGTTAATATTTGTCATAATAATAATGGCAATTTCACTTCTAGTTACAATTACTGAGTGACTACCATTTGAGAGGCACTGAACTAGATGTTTTTAGTTCTATGATCTCATAGTCTCACATAACCTTGTGGTCACCATTCTACCAGTGAGGGAGCAGAGATTGATGAATTTCATGATTTCTCCATCACTGTATAGTTAGTTAGGTGCTAAAGGGAGATGCTAACTCAGGTATGTCTAAATCTAAATTTGGGTATCTTTAAACTATACCACAAAAGTGCTTATAAGCTATAAATTTTCAGACAAGTGTAAACAATTGATACCTCAGTATAGCTACCTTAGAGATATCCAAAAACCAATGGGCTTACTGGGATAATTTGTTTTACTGAGTAACTGACCAGTTGATATCATGTGAGACTGTCTGGAAATTTTCTTTTTTGTAAATGTTAAAGTCAAATATTTTGTAAAATTTTGTAAAATTGAAGGTGAGCTAGCATAGTGGATGTTAATTTGGAAGGGAGGAGGTGCTGCCTAGCCTGGTGATCTTCTACATAGATTTAGAAAATTTGTTATTGTATGAATCATGGTGGGAGACCTCCTACAACAGAAGTGGAAAGAACCAGATAATGTAGATAATGACTTTTCCAGGGTCTCACAGATCTAGGAGGAGGTGCTGCCTAGCCTGGTGATCTTCTACATAGATTTAGAAAATTTGTTATTGTATGAATCATGGTGGGAGACCTCCTACAACAGAAGTGGAAAGAACCAGATAATGTAGATAATGACTTTTCCAGGGTCTCACAGATCTAAGGAATGACAACATGACCTTGCCAAGCCAATCAAATGCATCAGCTCAAGATTTCTAATTTTGATTTAATGACACAAAATAAAAGAGGCAGTAGAGAATCCTTTTTTTGCAAGAGAGGCAGAACTTTCAGCAGAAACTTTCAGCAGTTTTGGGGGTGATAGTAGCAAAAGAGGCAGTAGCAGTGACCAGTGCTGTATTTTTGGTTGTCTGAGCAGAGGTATTCCAATGCCCACTGGCCTGGTTCTGCCTTATGATGTTGGCTGTGATCTTGGCTATGATTTAGTATACTCTGCCTATGCCCCCTCCCCTTATTTTCTTTTGTAGATACCCAGATTTAGTATTACTGAGATTAAGTTTTAATCTATCATGTGAATTTATTTTCCCCAGACTAATTTTGTTATTGTCATTAAGCATAACTTGAAATATTAGTATAATATAGAATCTACATAAAAACTAAATAGTTTGCTTCAAACAAGAATGGAAAAATAGAGGTTATTAAATAACTGATACAAGGAAGTTCATGGAAAATGTTTCTTCCCCCATTATTTTCACAATTAGGGTGAGGATTCTCTTTCTGTTAGTCATTTTAAATCAAATTTAGAACTTACTTTCCATAAAGCTTTTGGAGCATGAAAGAGTATGCAAATGA